ATTGTTTTTTTTTCGGGTTGATGAACTTTGTTTTTGATTATGTGATTAAATTCCCAAGTGAGTCATGTTGTTGTGAAAGCTGAGATAACCAGAACTGTAGAGTATCTCGAGCATATGGATCGTGTTGGCCTCAACCTCATTCCAAGCCACATTCTTTAGTAGTCTTTGGTTTATGTCACTTCTTGTTACACTGAAAATATATATTACCTACAAAAAAATTTACAAAAACTCAACCACGTTTGATTAAAATCTTTTTTTATGGCTATTATTTTTTCAACATATTTGCACGTACACAGATACCTACCTAGAGCTCTCTGTTCTGTAGCACTGATATAACCAAATTATTTGTTTATTAATTTCATTTATTATTCGCCCCAGAGGATGGGAGGAGGGCAGTGAGTGGGAGGCGTGAGAAGTACCTTACTGAGAGATCGCGGCCACCAGCTGCGTTCGTTTTGCTTTTTATTTCGCATTTTTTTCTCCAGCCGGCAAGAATCTTGCCGATTCCGCGACCTAATGCTCCACGAGAGCTCTTCGAGTGCGAGATGACTCACTTGCCAGCAATGTCGAGTGCTCCAAGTGATGGGGAATGGGGCTGGGTTTCTGCCGAGAACAGAAACTGTGTTGTCTTCTGGTGGAGACAACTTCATTCCACTTGGAGTACAGTGGACTGAGGGTATGAGACTACAAGTGTTTCTATTTTTATACCCTTGCTGAGGGTATTATAATTTTTAAAACGACGGAAATTCTATTACTTTCTTGGGAATGCAGAATTTTTAAATTAAAATTGTACCGAATTGGTCTGATACATAAATTTCTATTACTATCGGTTATCTATATCCTTGTTTATTTTATTTAAACGGCGCCTATAAGTCGAATAGCAATATAGTTAAATAGTACAATTTTAGATGCTTTAATGTGGTGTTTATTCAAACTATTAGTGGTAACTACTTTAAAAAATATTTTATTAAAAAATAGCGCCTTCCTCCTCGATTCTCATATGTTGCACTTAAGTAGAACCCAAAAATGGGAAAAATAATTTGTATCTTTTTCCATTCGGTAATATCTTTAAAATAAAAATGAAAATGTTTAAAAAACAAGTTATACATATAATTTTTCATATATATATTTTTCATATATACACTCATCTTTTATGTAAAATAGCTTGTCCTTACCCATAGCTCTCTTGATTAAAAAGTGGGATAGTGGTGGGGGGCTTTAAATCATGATTAATATCTTATGTAAAGTTGACAGGGGGGAGGTTCTACTTGTTCGATGCCTCGACTTCATTTCTTTGATAGAGCATAACGGTATACAGATATAAATAACAGCATTTTAAAAGCTGCTGCCCTGCCCTGCCCCCCTTGGCGTTACCCCTCGAACTTTAATTTGTGCTTAAAGAAAAGTGGGGAACTCATCGGACAATGGAGTCAAAAAGCACATCGCTCTCCACTGAATAGCCATAGAATTCTTTGACTGCTTTTGCGATGACCGAGGCGGCAAACAAAAACCAAAATCAAAAAAGGCCAACAAGTATAATGCAACAGCAGCAACAACAACAGATTCCAGCTGGGAAACTGGACAACAAGGACAAATAACAGCAAACAATACGAATCTGGGAGTCAGTTTGCTCTCGTGTCTGGCTCGTGTTTGCCTTTTGCCGCTTGCCGTTTGGCATTTGAAGTGTTTATTGTCGAAAAGTTTTGACAATCCGCTATTGAAATACCATCCAGGAGGGGGTTGTGGCTTGTGTTCTCTTTCGAGTTTTTGCGAGAACTTTGTCACGAATATAAAAGCTAAAGCCCAATCAATCCAGAGAGACAATCAATACAGTTTGAAACATTCAAATAACGAATCTAGAAGTGGTTATAGATTCTAAAGTTGTTTTAGCACGTTATACAGTATAAGGGTTAAAAATTAGTGTTTGAAAATGTTAGATAAAGTGCTTAAGAACGATCTATCGATATTCAAGGATCCCCCATCCTTAGAAAAGCTTACCATCGCTAGACTATCAAATAGTTTCTTCTTCAGTTCTTAAACCAAAAGATTTAAGGGCTTTACTTCAGATAAAAAGATAAAAAAACTTGAATCTTGCACAATGAAAGTCTCGAAATCATTTAAGAGCAAGTATTGAGCAAACTTTCTTTACAAAAAATGGCCATATATCACTAGAGTTCATCGACAACAACATATCTGTGCTCCCATTTTCAAGTGGCCCAGTTTCATTTCCCATGCAAATTTGAAGAAATCACTTTGACACTTCAAGCCCCGCTTTTTTTCGGCTAGAAACTTATAAATAGATTTTTTTTTGTTACCGATTTTATTGTTGGTCTTTGTGGTTCCTTTTTTAAGTCTTTTGTTGTTGGTGGTGGAGCTGCTCATTGCCCTCATTTGTCATTCGTTTGCTTCGGCTTGTTTGCCATGGTAATCCGAGATTTTCCTGCTCTAGTCTGAGACCCCTGTCTCTGGCCATTTCGTGGCTCATGCCAATTGTTTTTATCGCCGCTTTTGGTCGAAACCAAAAACGAAAACGAAAACAAAAACGTTGAAAGCGTGCAAATTCGAATGCAAATTTAACACCTCGTCGTGGTTGACAAAAAGCGAGTGAGCAATAAAACCAAACCGAAAAACATCACAACACAAGAGGAAACGTTTAACTTTTGAAAATTGAGCCGCAAATTGAAAATCAAGACGAGAAGCGGGCTAAAGTCCAGAAACTGGGCTAACGCGACCATAGAAAATGGAAATTGAAATGGAATGCAGTTGTCGGGGGAGACGTCAGTTGACCGGCCGACCGACCGACGATTACCTCACCACATGCATCACATATGCCCATGGCACAAGCCCACTTATTCCATGCCCCGACATGTGTGTGGCACAACAACAAACACCTACAAATGCACCAACAAAGGGGGCCAACTGTGACAACACTTTTGGTAGCGAAAGTGAAACTGTAATATAAGGAAATGTTTACGAATTTTAAAGCTGTTGGAGGCTCTTAAACTTAGTTTCAAGTATTATAACGGTAGTGGTAGTGTTTGAAAGTGTTAGGAAAATTGATTTCAAAGAAATCTATCGATATTCAAGGATCTCTCATCTTCAAAAAAGCTTGCCACCTCTAGCTTGTTCTCAAATGTCATAACGGTATATAAAGTTGTATAAATGAGTGTTTGAAAATGTGGGATAAAGTGCTTAAAAAGGAATCTATCGATATTCAAGGATCTCCCATCTTTAGAAAAGCTTGCCAGCTCTAGTTAGAAATGGCGTGTTCATAGAATTCATAACGGTATATAAAGTTGTGATTTTAGTGTTTGAAAATGTTGGAAATAGTGTTTAAAAGGGAATCAATTAATATTTAAGGATGTGCCATCTGTAGAAAAGCTTGCCACCGCTAGCTAGACATGTCTTGTTCATAAATGTCATAACGGTATATAAAGTTGTGAAAGTAGTGTTTGAAAGTGTTAAGAAACAACAATCGATATTTAAGGATTGCATCTTCAGAAAATTTTACCACCGCTAGCTGGACCAAGATTTTTATTTGTACTTCACAACACTACTTTCTAAAGATTTCTTAATAAAATATAAAAGAAATACGATTTTTTTTATTGTGGCATGCTGATCGACAGCCAAAGTTCTATCAGTAACAACCGTCTGCAACGGTAGTTCAATTAGCCCTCATCTTCTTAACCCCAAAACCCCAGTGCCCCTGTTACGCATGCGCCCTGGGCTGGAAAGCCATTTAAGCCCCCCAGATCCAGTCAAATTCAAGCCACAAAGGAAAAAATCTGATGATTTATTTCGGTTTCAGTTCAGCGGGGTCAAAGATTGTTTCGCTTTCAGCTTTTCTCTTTGCTGGCCATGTGGAATGTGGTGAGCTGAGCTTACATACATACATCTTTCATTTTTATGCAGCTTTCCTCCATTAAACAATTAACTAACGAATTTGGTTTTTTTTATTTTTGTCTACACTTTTAATTGTTGTTTAAACTGGTTTGGTGTTGACTTCTTTTTGTTGTTTTGGCAACACTTTTTAGCCAGCTTCCAGTAGTCGTCGTCGGCTGCGTTGAAAACCAATTAGGAAATATTTTGTACTCCCATCTGGTGTCTCTCACCCTGGGAGTGTGTGTACCCCCTCGCATCTCGTTTTTGCTAATCCGCAGACAAGTTAATCGTTTGTTGACCTCCACGTCAAGGCAGGCAACCAACCAACTGGGATGTGGGGCTCCATTGCGGTTTTGAGATTTTTTTCCTCTTTCGGAAAATTTGCATAACGCGTTGCAGGCAAACAACAAAGTCGAGCTATCAAACCAACTTCCATCAGAACTTCACTCACTACCCTGGTAGTTGTTGAGCTTCTATATCTGAGAGTGTGTGTGTGTCTGCAGCAGCTTCTTTGGATTCTTCAACTGCCAAGTCACCACAAATCACGCAACATTTTTAAAGTCTGTTTGTCTGGCTCTCATCTGTCTGGCTTAGGCGAAAGCTTATCTAACCAGTTATCTTAACCGAACGGTACTAACTAAGATAGTTGCTAGATAACTTAACTAAACAACTATAGAATCTTGGTATCTTCCATCTCTGTTGAAGTTGAAGGTCCAAAGCTTAAGATATGGGGAATCTTTTGGAGAAAGAGTTAAAGTTTATGGCTAGCAGTCTCTTAGTTTATATGCTAATTTGATTAATTATAACCATTAACCATTATAACTTTCAACACCAGCAGCTTTCTCATCTTTCACCGTTGCGCTACCAATTAATTTTCGGTGAAAATATATATCATCGTAAATACGCATAAATATCTACTTACCGGAGATGAGAGAGAGCAACCTTTGAGAACGCTTCTTATGGTTGGCTTGGCCTAGACTTCAGTTCAGTTGCAATGCGCCAATTTGGCTAACAAGCAACAAAGAGCAGCAGCGGCAAATAATAATATTGCATTCTCAACAATTTCTCTGATTCTCTGTTTTGTAATGCAACGTTTTCTTCTTTCTTTCTCGTTTCAGACATGGCACAAAACGTGTTTCAAATGCACAGAATGCGGCATGGCGCTCAATATGAAAACCTACAAGGGCTACAACAAAATGCCCTACTGCGAGGCGTAAGTTTCAACCCATAACCCCCCTCCTACCTTTCCTAGCTTTCTAGCCCGCGAAGAGCACAGTGGGGGCAATCACGTTGGGGCTTATCGCAGCACCCACTCCAAAACTTGGGGAACCCTCCCACTAGGTAGGTGGTGGGGTGGTCAACCTTGATTTCGCCTGGCAATCTTCATTAGCGTCGTTTATCTAATCGCTGCCTGGAGATACCACCACCCGGGTGGTGCTGGTGGTGGGAGTAAGTAGTTAAGATAACGTTTAAATACACTGGAAAATGGCTAAAAAAAAAATAGCATTCCAAACTGTGTGAACCCCAAGCCTCCATCTCTGGGGTGGGTTTGTCGCAAGGAATGCGGAAATGCAGTTGTGGGCCATCATAGAGAGGGGCATTCTAGTTCACCTGGTGAACTAGTTAGATTTCCGGCTGATAAGAGTAGTGGTTAGTTGGGAGGGGAAATGATATAATACCAGCAGATGGGAAGGGGTATCTATCAGGAGTTGAACATATTTTATCTCTACTATTTAAACTCCAATAATTTTTCAGAAGAAAATAGGTTCTCCTTTCCTGGAGCTTCCTTAGAAAAAAAAAAGAATGATTGTAGCTTCCTTTTAATGGAAAACCGATCATCACTATTCCCAAATCCCAAACCCCTGGTGAGCTTTTCATTCACGATTTGCTTGGGGAATCGTTGCCACTTGAAAGGGGGGCACCTATCCGCCCAAATGAGCTCTAACCCTGTTACCATGCAACACCCCCTTCGGTTCGCCATGTCGTCATGTGTTCATTGTTGTAGACAATGTCACACACATGGCTCGAACGGACAAGAGAGCAAGTGTTTTTGGCTTTGTAGTCGTATTGTGGCCAACTTCTACTAGAAACCAACTACCAATATTCTGTTCTGCTGCAGTGCGTGGCTGCATTTACTGGCCTTGAGCCAAAAACAGACCAGAAGCGGAATTATTCCGAGGATGATACGATACGATACGATACCCTACCCTTGTTTCCTGTTCTACTCCATTTTGTCCTGCTGCTCTAATGCAGATTTATTGTGGATGCCACCGCTGCGGGAATAAAAATTCCATGCGGATTGAGTTATGCGTCCGTTAGCTCCATTGCGCAGTGTCCCGAGCCGGGCCCGGACCCCGGACCATCTCTTTCCCCTCGATTGCCCACAAAAACCGGGCCTTTAGTTTTCCCTGTCGAGTATCACACATGTCCCGGTCGCTTTGTGTGAATTTCCACTGATGTCATCGCCAGCATAAATTCCGCCATGAAATCGGCCCAGAAGTAGTATCGTGGCGGTTACGCCCCTTTTTTCCGTTTGCCGGCACTTTCACTGCATTTCACTGCATTTCCTCAAACCATTTTGCACCTATCCGGCAAATGTTGCCCTGCCACCCGATTACGTGACTCCACGTACTCTAATCCCAAAGCCGAGACTCTGATTTTTATGCCAGGGCATATTGAAAGGCATTGGGACTGGGTCTAAGAACAATATTAAAGAATCTATCATGTTAGACCTTAGTAAAGCCCCTAAAAATAATTATATTTTTATTGCCTTAACATGCATCTTGTAAACTCTAAAGTAAGCTCTAGGGTATTTCCAAGAAAAAACCACAAAAAATATATATATATATTCCAAGTTCTGCACAACACACATCGGGTTTGCATTTTGTAATTGCTTGAGAAGTTTCTGGGACCTGACTTCTGGGTTATTGTTCTTAGGGCTGAGTGTCTGGCGGACAAAAGATTTTGTTTCCCATTCGAGTTACGGGTCAAACCAAACGAAAAAGTTTTCATAGCTTCTCGCTTTCTTCAGGCCCGGGGTCAGGTCAGTCGACATGGATGATGCGGCCCAGTGGGGATAACACGATTGCAATAAATTATAAAGTTCATTCGCAGGATAAATGAGGAAACGTGCAATTAAAGTTGGGCCACATATGAAGCTGAAGCTGAAGTGCCAGCCAGACAACTGATTGTTAATTGGATTGGTGGACTCCCCTAGAAATTATGGCCAAAAGGAGCACTCTCATACTCTGGTATGAGTTCGCAAAGAAGGAAGTGCTCTAAATACGACGAGTACTTTTGATGGATGGCAACATTTATGGCAGTGATTTAGTGTTTAGTTAGTTTAAAATGAGTGATTTGCTGTAAAAATATTGTTAATTAATTGTTAGTTGAAAAGAAGATATTTAGCTAGGGATTTTAGTGTGTTTTTGACTGGGTATTTTATTGAAAACTACTATGTTTTCTTAATAAAAGCATGTAAGGTGTTAGGACTTTATAGCATTTTACTTTAGACTAAAGAATCTTACGAATATTTATATAGATTTAGAGAGATATTAGGGAGAGTCATACCAAGAGTCTTATTAAAAGAATTTCTTAAAAAAAATATATTAAAATAAGGAAACAAAAATATATTACAGGATTAATACGTATATTAATAGAGAATAGTCTTCCAAGTCATTAAAAATATTCGGAGTTCAAAAATAAAGAAATTTTTTCCTTCAGAAGCTAAATCAGAGATCAGAGATCTATTGCTTCTATCCCTTTCCCATTTTTTCCAAAGGACTTTGAAACAATAAAAAATATATCCTTGAGTCTAAACCTCCCTACCTTTTGAAACAAACCAACAACAGCCCCTAAACCTTTAGCTCCCAATACCCAAATCATATTCAGAAAAGAAAATTGAATGCATTTTCTTGGATTTCCAACTGTTTTTAAAGAGGATTCCATCCTTTCTCTCTCTCCGAAAGCAATAGCCATTCTAAGAAGGATCTGCCCGACTTTTGTAGTACAACTCGAAGCTTATGGATAAAACTCTCCTTTCCACCCAACAAACGAAACTTTCTCCACGCCCTAATTGCATCTTGAAGTAGAAGCCAGAAGTAGAAGCTTCCTGGCCGTTGTCTACCTAAGGCCGAGCCAAAGGACATTGCAGGAAGCAGGAGGGACTACTCGGCTTCGGCTTTAGGCCAGGACATGCCAAAAGTGCACTACCATGTGGACATGAGTGTGTGTGTGCTGGAATGTCTCTATTCATACAATTTTGTATACATTACATTACCAGGCCCCATTTAGTTGGAATTGAACTAGAAAACGAGATGTTTACAATGTCTTGTTGGGTTTACTTACTATCCTCATTTTTTTTTGTGCATTTATTGTGAATTTCATTTCGTTTTCCTTGCTACACAAAAAAAAAGGGTTAAACATCTGCTGAACAGAGCTTGCTTGATACATTGGCATTTATTTATTAACATAAAAACCCAGTGAACCATGGTCATGCCCATGCCTCAAACCCCAAACCCAACCCCAACCCCACTGTGTGCCACATTCCTTGTCTTTTTCTCTCATTTCATTTTGCAACAGATTTTTGTTGCGGCTTTTTTCCACTTTCGTTTTGAAATGCGGCTTAAATAGCCGAACAAAACATGATATATATATATATACATATATGTTTGGATGGATGGATGGCAGGGAAGATCTCTTGATTACTTAAGCCGCCCCTCCTTCAGATAGGACAATAGCAACAAAAAACCTTTTCAATTACCAAAAAAATAGTTGGGTCAGCCAGACTGAGAGATATGAGGGTCTATACTCATACATTTTATGCTTAATAGTATTTTTCAGGTCACTCGATGTTTTTAGCTTCCGAAATGAGCCAACCTCTAGCCTGGGAGTGGTGTCATCTATTACCATCCATACTCTACAGTATATCACACCTTTCCTAAACAGACGGATGGAATTTTAAAAGCTTTAAACACGCGATATGTGTTGCCCTTTCTCTTTCACCGGATTACTACCTTTCTCTGTCTCGGGAATGGGTTTTCAAAAACTCCATTTCTGTGGCTACTCGGTTTGATTGACTGCAACGGATTATGGGAATACCCGATGATGACGTTGACGGGCCATTGCCAGAAATACATAATCACATGGCTCGGACATGCATTTAATTTCAATTTTAACGCTTTTGCAAATTATGTGTGAAATGATTTCTCTTTTTCGGTTATGCAAGCGCGAATTAAGGAAAATTATCTCTTAATGATTTTCGAATATTTCTGAATATAAATGGTCTTTATATCTAGTGGCAAATGAATCTCAGTACAGGAGGCGAGGCCCCTCCCTGGTTCGGTTTACATTGATCCATTGCCCAAGAAAAAAAAAATAAAAAACAATGACAACACTGGTTGGACAACAAAAGACTGTCATGGTAACTCAACACCAATCACCAATCACCGGCACAGCATGTTCCACATAAAAAACAAAAACAAAAGATTGTATATGAAAATGTAGTGTGGAGCTGAAAACAACTGTGAAAATCCAGAAAAATATGTTGACATCACATGAATGTCCAAAACGTTTTCCTTGTTTATATAACGCTGGGCTGGTTTTTTTTTTGGGAGGGACTGTGCATCCAGATTGGATGCCATGGGGGCGAGATGCCGTGGATGTAGTCCAGTTTGATGGGCAGGAATCCTAGATCTTCCTGCCAGCAACAGCAATTTGTGTGGCGAAATCATTAACAAGAACGACTTTATTTTAAAAGTACTTTTACAGACTTTTAAATACTCTGAAATATTCATTTTCTTAAAGCTTAAGAAGTATATGTCTGTATAAAATTAATGCTTCAGGAAAAACAAAATTAAAACGCAAAAACTATAATAGGTAATGAATTAATTCTAAGTTCCTTTTCCAGTCTATTAAGTTTTTAAAGTATTTTACAGAAATTACCTTACCTAACACTGAAAAATAAAAAATAAATATGTACACACTGTCCTGCTTCTTATCTTATTCTTTCTTCCTCAATAAAATCAAAAAACAAATATTTTTTAGATTTTTTGTGATGGGATCCCTTGAAAATGGGGTTTTCCCCTATAGGGCCCACAGTGATGGCTATATCTTCCCCAATTCTCATCCGAATCTCAAGCGGAGTACCTTAAACGATTTCTAGATCGATTCGCCATCATTCTGCATCTAAATCCTGAGACAAAATATTTTTCAGATTTTTTGTCCATTTTTCCTGATGAGATCCCTTGAAAATGGGGTTTTCTCCTATAGGGTCCACACTGATGGCTATATCTTCGCCAATTCTCACCCGATTCTCAAGCGGAGTACCTTAAACGATTTCTAGATCGATTCGCCATCATTCTGCATCAAAATCCTGAGACAAAATATTTTTTCGATTTTTTCCCCATTTTTCCTGATGGGATACCTTGAAAATGGGATTTCCTCTATATGGCTCAGAGTGATGTGGGAGGTATTCTCCTATATGGAGGTGATCCTCATCGAAAGTACATGTACTTTATAGGATCGTAGATGTCACTACGTTGCACACTCTTGACCAAAATGATAATACCCTATGGAAAGGGTATGAAAAGAGTAAAAAAGTCAAGAAAAACAAAAAGGAGAGTCCATCACACACATATTTTTATTCTTGATAGTTTTTTTTTTTTTTGCTGCTGTTAGTGACGTGTATGCTGCCCCATTACGTTGCCGTTGCTTTTGTGTTGCAGCTGATCTATTGGGAACGTGCTGAGACATCCGCTGGTGGTGGCCACCGCTCACCAATGTCGCCTCCGGGCGCTTAAGCATTGTTATGTCATCATTACCAGCTACCAGTAGCCAGCAACCAGCAACTGGCAACCAGCAACCAGCAACATCAAGCCAGCAACAGTAGCAGGCAGCAGCAATGTGTGCCAGCAATGCGGACGATGCTTTCTGCGGTTCGGGCTTTGTTGCACTTATTTGCCGCCCCCTAACCCCGCACTCCCCTCACTCCATCACCCTTAAACCTCAACTCTATTTTCTATCTGCGGCACATACATCTCTACATGCAACGCATATTGAACGATAAAGCAAAGTGAAGCTAAAGCTTGCAGCAACTGCAACTGCAACAAAAATAATGCATTATGGGGTATACTTAGTATTATTGTGGCTGTCTCTGTTGACTCTAAATGGTAGCTATTATTCCAGAGAGGATATTTAGATTATTTAATTATATTTCAAGCAGTAACTGCAGCATTTACAAATCAACAACTATGCTATTATTTAATTATTGTTTAAAAAAAATATATATTTAAGAGTAAATCCATGTTCGTTGTGGCTTTGAAACCTACATACATGCCTCGTTGCTTATGCCTTTGCTGTGGTCATTAAACGGCCTTGTGCCACTATCTCCCATCCACTGAGCACTGACCAGAGTCACTGGTCACCTCTGTGCGTGTGCTACGATTTCCCATTGTTTGTCGCTGGTTGGGATTCCACAGATCCGCAAATTGCAAATTATTGCACTCCACACCCACTCTTCGAAGGCCAGCAGGAGCAGCAGCTGCAGGCGATTAGAACACATCGCTAAAATGTCTATAAATATTCAATAATGCCAATTGACTTGCATGCAATTACGTTTACAATATGGGTGGTAAGGAGGTAATGCACCCCAACACGCCATCATATATGAGTTTATCAACCTTTCTCTTCAGCAACGGAGTTATCAGTGCTCTGTTGTCCAATCGATCGATCGATTAGCCGCCTGATAGGTTAAAGCACTGACTCACCCATGGCCAGTATTCATCCGCAAATAAAAATATAAAAAAAATAGAGTAAATCGATGGGGGAATTTATGTCCTGTGGCTGGCCTGCCTGCCTGGTTGTTTGTTCATTATGATTACTTTTCTGAAATAACTATAACAGATGCGCCATGCCAATAATTACATTGATGTATTAGTCTCTGGAGGGTGAAATGATATCAAAAATATCAGTAAGCTTTTGTATTTTATTCAGAGAACTAGACTATTAACCCATATTCTTGGCTGGTTTCTTCTGAAAGATCTCTTAAGACAATGCCCAACGGCATAAACCATAAACCCCAAAACTTTTCTTTTTGTGATAAATTGCATTTTAGCCACAGAATAATCTCCCGTTAGCTGCCTTTGGCCAACGAAAAATTCAAACGTGGCTTTCAGACTGGGTTTTAATTGATAAACAAAAAAAAAACAAAAAAAAATCGCACAGGTCAGAGGTTTTCACACGAAACACAAACCAAACCAAACCAAACCGAAACCGACATGAAATCAGAGATGGATATGCTCTGGCTCGTTATCCCCTCGAGCTGGAGTTGGAGCTCAATCCACCCACCCGAGTGGAATTTCCGTGAATTAAAGTTGGGCCAGCTGGCGTGGAGAATTCCCCGATTCAGAGGAGCTCCATCTCCTATTGCCACTGGCGGCAACTGGGTATGATGATGATGATGAACTTTATCTGCGGCCTGCCACAACAACTGACTGCTTAACTCCTCCTAACAGATAGATCTCTCTGTGTACCCCCTCTGTGCTATATCCTATTTTAATTTTTTTTTTGTTTTTTCTTGACTTTTCAGACACATACCCAAAGCCAAGGCAACAGCCATTGCCGATACCCCCGAACTGAAACGTTTTGCCGAAAATACGAAAATCCAATCGAATGTTAAATACCATGCTGACTTTGAGAAGGCCAAAGGCAAATTTACACAGGTAAGAAAGAGTCTCAGGACTCAGGACTTTAAATGAATACTAATTGTCTTGGTTTGGTACGGCAGGTGGCTGATGACCCGGAAACGCTGAGGATCAAACAGAACACGAAGCACATATCGAATGTGGCATATCACGGCGATCTGGAGAAGAAGGCTGCCATGGAGAAGCAGCGTGGCTCTGCCGAGGTCTCCGACAGCAGCAGTGAGTAGCTCTTTTCTCCTCATCCATATCCTGGTCTTCATCCAGCTCCTCATCCTGAAAGTATCTCCCATATTTGTGTATCTAACTCAACAGCAAGCTTCATTGTTTGGCTTAGTAATTGTTAGTTGCCTTTGGGGTCGGGTTGTGGAAATGAATTTATATGAACTTTATTGATTTAATGTGTTTATAATTGTCTATTGACGTCATTCATTCATGCAAGGAAACAAGTGACATAAAAGAGTAAACACTTTTAATAAAAACACTACATAAGCCTATATCAATCCAAAAAATTACTATTATTTAGATAGCTCTTGCCTATTTATTTCCTTCATTTTTGTCACATATTGTCATTAATATTGATTATAATTCCGTTTTTTATGGTTTGTTTTATTTTTTTTGTTTATTTTCATTATTGTTTTTTGCGGACATTGTTTATCATTTGTTGGCACACACTACTCTCCCCACATCAACATCAACATCAACATCAACATCAACATCAACATCAACTGCAACAAACAACAAAACAAAACATATATATTGTGTGCTTTCTGAACTACCGTTAACCTTATACACCAAAACACACCAACATACACTAACAACAACAACAACAACTGTGGACTATGTTGTGTATATTTTAATTGAAAAATTAAAAATATTTTCGAAAAAAAAAAAGATGAATCGGAATATTTCTCTGAGCAATTGGCAGCTGAACAATTCTCGCAATATGCACCCACAGCTTCACCCATACCGCCAGCCGTGACACTACACCAGCAACACCAACAACAGCAACAACAACAGCAGCAACAACAACAACAACAGCAGCTGCAGCAACAATACCAACAACAATTGCAGCAACAACACCAACACTATCTGCAACAGCAGCAACAAACTCTGCCACCGCCACCCATACAACATCAGCAATACAATACAGCGGCCATAACGCCCACATACCAACAACTCCAACAGCAACAACAACAACAACAACAGCGAGCCCAGCAGCAACATCAACAACAGCAACAACAACAACAGTTGCATGATCCCTATGCCCACTATCAGCAACCCCAGGCGTTGCGCCAACAGCACCACCAACAGCAGCAACAGCAAGCCATTAAACAAGCCTCACATCTGTATCCCACAGCAACCTCCCAGCAGCAGCAGGTGCAGCAACAGGCAGCTTTGAATCCCCAGCAGCAGGCCCTCAATAGCTACAATGAGATGCGCTCGGCCATACTCCAGAACTCGCATCATCCCAGCGGCAATGCTGTGGATCAGTACGATCATCCGCAGCAGCATCAGCTGCAGCAACAGCATAGCAGCAACACGGCGGTGCAGCAGCAGCAACAGCAGCCATCGCACCACAGCTTGTTGAACAACAATCCCAGCAATGGTGGCAGCTCGCAGAACAGCCACACCGCCATCATCAACAACAACAATGGCCATGGATCCAACAGCCAGATGATGCCCCCGCAGATGCGTGCTGGAGGCAGCAACACCGACGTGGCCCAGATGAGGAGCAGCAGCAAGCACAGTGTGGCCGGTGCACCGGGATCGGGAACTACCATCACCGCCCAGAATCATCTGCAGCAGCTGTATGCTGCACCCAACTACGCCACGGTGACGCCCTCGGAGAATGCCATTGCTGCCCAGAATCATATGCAGCAGATATATGCCTCGCCCAACTACGCCGCAGCGACGCCATCGGAGAACGCCGTCAACCTGAAGGCACATGCGAGCAATGGACATGTCCCCAGCCAGCAGCAACTGATGGCCGGCGGAGGAGGAGGAGGTGCCTCCAACAATATCGGAAAGATAGCCGACTACGATCCGTTGACGGATGGGCCGCGACCGGTGCCGACCGCCGGACGATCCAGCACCACTCTGGTCTACAGCTCAGAGCCGCGCGGCGGCATAGCAGGTGGTAAGTTATCCGAGAAGGGGGCAGGCTAGCTGGTAGTTCGAGATAGTGCGCTGCTCAGCTCGATGTGAATCCATCGCCTAATATCATCATATTTTGTCCTTGTCCCAGCTAGAGATTCCAGTAGAATCATCCACTAACTTGTCACCTCCTCCACAGGCAACAGTGTCTACCCCAAGAGGATTGGCTCCATTTCGGACATTGATCCGGCCAATGGTATATATGGCTCCCTAACCAGTGCCGAGCAGGCCCACCAGCAGAAGCAGCAGCAGTACTACCAACAGGTCCAGATGATGCAGCAACAAGAGCATCCTCCCCAGCAACAGCAACAGCAGCAGCAGATGCGCCAGCAACCATCCTATGTGTCGCTGCAGGATAAGCAGTCGCGCCAGAGCACAGCTTTGGTGAGTAACCCAAAGAGCCAGGAGACCAGATCCAACCAGAGATTTAGAAAAGCTATCGGATTTGGTCGTAACTTGTTGAATAGAATCCTTTTTTGGTTTAGAAACTTTCAAATCTTTGTACTCATTTCAAGAGTATTTGTGTGCGTATGTTTTTGATTAACTAGTCAGTCTCTAGTTAGAGATATTAAAAAAAAAAAATAAAATAATAGATAATCCCTCAAAGAAATATTATAAATAATATTCAATAATTTTACAGCGCGTCTATCGGGCCATTTACGACTACGAGGCGCAGGACGTCGACGAGGTTAGCTTCCGCGAGGGCGACGTCATCTTCGAGGTGGAGTCCATCGATTCGGGCTGGATGACCGGTCGGGTGGAGCGAACCGGCAAGACCGGCATGCTGCCCGCCAACTATGTGGAGCAGGCGGTTATATAATAGGGAATGTTCTACTACTGCTGCTGTCGCCAGCAGTTTGTGGTGATCCTCGTCTGCCTGCTCTACATCCTGCTCGTCCTGGTCTTCTTTGTCAATGTCTTTGTCGCGGATCGCAATATGCATGCGAACCTAATGATGAGAAACTCCCATGGGCATGGGCACGGTCATGGCGGAGGAGGAGGAGTAGGCGGCGGGATGGGTGGAGCACCGGCCGGCCATCACAACCACAATCCGTACGACATGCATGGCTATAACCACTACAGCAACTACCATCCGCAAGTGGATCCCAAGCAGCAGCAGGAGATGGCCAGGAAGACGCCGAACCAACAGCAGGCCGAGCAGGACATCTACTATTATTTCAATCATGTATTCAGGCGGCGAAGGCGATGAGGAGCAGTGGATGATGATGATGCTCCAAATCTTAGTGCATTAACTTATCCTACACATACACACACACCCTCTAAATACATAAATAGTTATATAATTACTATATATAATATATAAATATATATATTTATAGCCAAGGCAGCGAGTTATGTAAAAAGCGCTAGGAGGAGATACAATTTTTGTGTAAAATTTAATAGTAACACCCCCAACCAAGAACCAACAATCTGATATCCATCATATATATAGTAAATAAACGGAAGTTTTAGAATCGTGAGATATATATGCGATATCCGATTCCGATTCCAGCTTATGAATAATTCGAGAGCGACCAAGCTAGCCCAGCCAAGTATGCATTTATCTACAGGCCCTTAGAGGAATAATAAAAATTTATACAGATATTTATTGAAGGATATACAAGCTAATCAGCTAATCTAATGCTCTATATAGCTAACCAAATTATATATACGGTTGCTAGACGACCAGCTTTTCCAGCCCAGCCTGATATAGAAAACGTTTTCTAATTAAATTAGAATTTCACTAAATAATCAATATACATACTATATACTATATATGGGGCTTCTGGCTACTTAGGATTTCCCCCCCTCCATGTTTTCTTAGGCTTTTTTAAAAAGCTTCTTGTACTAGCCTAGTTCAGAGTCCATAATCTGATATCATCTGATATGGATTTGGATCCATTATCCCTACAATTTTGTCAATTTATTCGTGTAGAGCGGCCTTAAGGCAAAGGCAAAGATTTGTTCTTGTTTTTTTTTTGTAGTGGGGGAAATACGTGTTTTAATCTATATATATAATCTATATATATATATATATTATTTTTGTTAAGAAGATGATAATATTGTTTGTTTCTCTAGACAAGTAAATGGGAAAATATTGTTTCGTTTCACAAAAGAAATCCTTGAAAGTGCCTTTAATTTGCTAAAAAAAAACAAAGTGTTTTTTAGATAAAACCAATTTATTAGATTACCAATAATGCATTATTAGAACGCAACTAATATACTGATTAACTTAACTTATACATCCAAGATAACAATATGCAAAGAATCGAGATCGAATTTCAGATGCAAAGTAGGAGGAATAACAGAAGATAATTTATAATGTGATTGGAGTAATGTTTTTCTATGGCAAGTCAAGCTACATTAATGTATTATTAACTTAATTACACACCCACATACCACACACACTCGGACATAGGCATATAGGCCGCAGTTTGGAAATGCTTCGAGTGGATATGGAAGAATCACCTAACAATTACACAGAATCTAATCTAATCTTATCCTGAAACTGAAGCAGCGCCAAAGGCTTCGTTTTGTGAACGTGTTACAAATAAAATAAAAATTTATGAAAATCTTTTAGGTTTTGGTTTTAATCTTGAATGTATTATAAAAGAAATTCTATTAAGAATGATATGGAGGGGCTAAAAACAATATGGATAAAGCGATCTATCCTCGATGTAGCTTAGCTAAGATGGCTTTGATACAATATTATCCACTCTATAAGGACCATATATCGTAATCATAACTCCACCTATTGTTGACAGACCAACATCTGTCATACCTTTCTGTTTTTTAGACTTTTCTAGTACTACTTTCTGGTATAAAAAACTGGAAAATAATACTTCAAGACCATTCTCCAATTGCAAACTTCCGAATAAACCCTTCAAATACTATGCAGTCTCTATCAAAAATTACCTAAAAGTAGTTTCTAAAGGTAGAGCTAGGATAGATTCAGGAGAAGGAACTGAAGTAGTTGATATGGCGGGTGCCGGAAGATCCGTATCAGTGAATGATTGAAAACCTGAGAAATATTTGCTATTGAAGGAGAAGCTTCCAGGAAAAGCTACAAGAGCAAGCTATCTGGGAGAAGGTCCTGAATCAATCATGTGTAGCAGATACTTTCTGCAGAAAGTATGGAGATGCAAATGTATAGACCCGGTTAAGAGAAGGATAAGACTTGATGATATTCTATATTTTCAATTCAAGATTCAAATAAACCCAGAATTTCCTCTGCAAATGTCAAAATTCAAAGAAGGTCTCATCCATAGACTCATTTTATGTTGAAGCATACATATATGTAATTATAGAGTGAAATTTTAGGAATATTCCATAAAGTATTTATGCCGTAACGTAAAAATTAATCAAAATAAAAATCATCCCTCCACACCGTCAGTTGCTATCACTGGACCCCGGGCCAGGGGTGGTAGTAGAAGTGGGTGTGCCTCCTTGGCGGGCCCCCATAATAGTTTCCAGGATAATGGCCTTGGAGTTGCTGATGGTCTCCTCGAAGAGCTTGGCATCCGAGCGCTTCTCCTCGGTGATGTAGTCCAGCTTCTCCGTCAGCATGGCGATCTTCTCCTGGGCCAGTTCCAGCCTGAAAATTAATGTCAAAGATTACCTAAATCCTAGTTATCCTTAAGACTTACTGGTTCTTAAGATCCTCCATCTTTGGCTCACTTCCACCCACTGCCGAGCTGAGAGTGGCGTTGGACTGGTACTGGGACTGATTCTCGAAGCTGAAGGAGCTGATCGATCCGTTAAGAGAAGTGCGACTCAGCGAACTCGCATAGTCGGCCATTCGCTGGGTGCGCTTCTTCTTGTCGGACTGCACATCGAGCTCCTTCTCCAGCTCCCTGATCTTTGCCTCCAGCCGGATGATGCGGGTCTTCAGTTTCCCAATCTGCTCCTGGGCATTCTCGTTCTTGGTGCGCTCGGCCTCCAGGCGCTCGCCCTGGGACTTGGTCAGTAACATAAGATGGTTTTTCTCCACCTCAAGGGCATCTAGGATGCCCACAAACTCCTCCTATGATTGGAGAATGTTTATATAATCCCCACTTCCTCCTCGAAGCTTACCTTTCGAAATTCCCGACATGAGAAAAGGAACCCTCCAGATAGTGCCCGCAAATCCATCTCCAACTTCTTGATCATCTCCTGAAGACTCTCAATAGCCACATCCTTTTGTTTAACCACCGACTCCAGCTCCAGATGCATGCCACTCAGCTCCTCCATCTGGCGCCGGGAGATGTCCCGCTCCTCGGTGATCCGTATTATCTCGGCCCGCATGTCATCCAAACGGACCTCGTACTGCTGCCTCTGGCGGGCCAGCCTATCGTTCATGGTGTTCATATTCAAGCCGTTGTAGTCCGTCTGCTCCTCCAGCTCACTGAACTTCACCTTGTACTTGACCATCTCATCGTTGAGAGTCTTGTTGCGCACCTTCAGGGCCAACATCTTGCTGCGCTGCTCCTCCATCTGGGCCTGGAGGTTGACTATCTCCTTTTCCAGCGACTCCACCTTGGCTCGGTGCAGGATCTCGCTCTTGCGCACTCCGGGAGTGAAGCGATCGAACGATGCAGCGCCACTTCCGCCTCCATCTCCAGCACCCAAGCTAGCGGCATGATGAGTACCTCCAGCCGACCGCGCACTGCCCGGCACCAATTCCAGATCAGTGCCAACGGCAACCGGAGCGTACTCCGCCCGATCGGCAGCCCTCTCCTCGAAGCACATCAGGCGATCCTTGAGCTCCTGCACCTTCTGGTTCAGGGTGAGTATCTGCTGGGCCCGACCGCGCCAGTTGGCCTGGTTCAGATTGTTGGCCAGAATGTTGATGTTGCAGGACTCGCCGATCTCGTGCTGCAGGCACTTCTGGGCTAGCTTCAGTTGGGTTTGTAGTTCAGTGTTCTTGTTCCTGGTCTCGAAGAGTTTCTGCTGCATGCTGGTGATCTTGGCCTGCAGCTCGTCGGCGGAGGTTCCCTTTTTCAGGAGCTCCTGATTCGCCTGCAACTTCTCCTCGTAGCTGCGCAAGTCACGCTCCATCTTCTCGATCTGGTTATCCCTTTTGGCCAGCCGGTTCTTCGTCTGCTCCAGCTCCGCCCGCATCTGACGGTTCTTCTTGCTCAGCTCCAGGATCTTGGTGCTGGCAATAGAGGAATTTGAACGCAGTTCGTCAATGGGCACCGAGTTCAGGACGTCGTTGAGAGAGTCCACAGACTTTTTAAGGGCATTGATCTCCTGGTTCTTGTCCTGAATGGTCTGGGCCAGTGACTGGTTCTCCTGCTCGAACTCAACCAGCCTTTTGCGCAGTTTTTTTGACTCTGGCTTGGGCTGTTTCGGTTTTCCGGCCGTAGTGGCCACCACCACATGGGCCGCCACCATGGGATCGTGCTCGTGCCGACGGCGAGTGGAGCGCGGAACCTGCTGCTCCACAATCGGCTTTTGGCAATATTCCTCAGGCAGTAATTCCATATCGAAATCGAGGTTTTTTTAAAATATACATACGCAATCAAATCAAAAACAGTTTCTTTGGCTTGGCGAAATTTGTACGTGTGCCTGTTACGTGTTACGGATATTCTCAATTTTGTTTCGACAGTTGTTTCAATGGGTGGTTTCAAACAGCTTCTCCATAAAATACAAAAAAAGCTAAGTAGATTGAACATTTTTCAATGAAAACTTATCTACAAAGTTTTTAAAATTCAAATGTGAAACGGTTACCCGCTTCATAACGGCCACTATGGGCAGACGTACGTTTACCAACACTGGTGGAAAAATTAGTGTGACCCATTACCGTCGCCGGTATTAGGGGGTGCTGCACTCCACCTATCGTTCAACACGTAAATAAAGTGACGTGTAAGACAACAACGAAAACAAGCAAAGATGGACGGATTTATGATGGTATGTTGCAAAATATTCATAATTATGGATGAAAATTAAGTCTGCCTTCCTTGTAGGACATCATCAAGGGCATGTGCATCATGGACAATGATGGCAACCGCATCCTGGCCAAATATTACGACAAAAACATCCTGTCCACGCTGAAGGAACAAAAGGCCTTCGAGAAGAACCTGTTCAACAAAACGCATCGCTCCAACACGGAGATCATCATGCTGGACGGCCTCACCTGCGTCTACAAGAGCAACGTGGATCTGTTCTTCTACGTCATGGGCAACGCCTACGAGAACGAGCTTATCCTGCTTTCCGTGCTGAACTGCCTGTACGATTCCATCAGCCTGATTCTCAAGAAGAACGTGGAGAAGCGCCTGGTGCTGGAGAACCTCGAGATCATCATGCTGGCCTTTGATGAGATCTGCGACGGAGGGTGTGTATATTTCCGAGTCATCCATAGTCTTTGTAGGGTTAGGGTTGGGTTTTCTGTCAACGTACACAACAAGTGTTTTGTAATTGGATGACCTTTAGCCTTATCATCTTTATTTACCCCATTTAATCTGTATTATTTAATTCTCAACAGAATCATCCTGGATGCGGATCCATCGTCTGTGGTTAAACGCGTCGATCTGCGCAACGATGACATTCCCATTGCCGAACAGACCGTTGCCCAGGTAACTAACACGCTAAATGGTCTATTTTGGTAGCCACTCTACATTTAGTAGCTCTTCTTAAGTGTTTTCTTTCAAATATTTTATGATAGACGCCGGTTTAATCGGTACTACTTAATAGTATTGTCCTGTTTTGTTTCGTAATTTGATTACCATTCGTCCAATTCCCCCTGCCCCACGTCCAAAAATTTACCAAATCCATTGTACATGAAATCTGAACAAATAAATATGATTTTAAATGTTTTGGAACTTTACCCTCATTTTGATTTGGTTCATTTGATAAAATTACGTACGGTAGGCATTCAATACATCTATATTTAGTAGCTTTTTTGTTTTAATTTCTGTACTTGTTTTATCGTTTGTGTTGAGTATACATCTTTCTTGATAAAAATATATACATACATAAGTGTGGTTTGTAGTAACTCTTTCTAGACTTCCTTCATTAGCTAATTGATCGAATTTAACTGTGTCTTTTTATTGTGGAATCTCTATATGTGCTATCTATTTTTTTAGGTACTGCAATCGGCGCGTGAACAGCTCAAATGGTCCATTCTGAAGTGATGGAGGGGCCACTTCCGGTCGGTCGCATCCCTGTATCGCAATACATTCGATCCTTCGTGTATCCCCCAATTGTTTCCGCCTAGTTGTAAAGCATATTATAATACATATATTTAACTAGACAGCCATGCATGTTTTATTTTTCTGTTGTTTAATCAGCTTAATTAGATTGATTTAAAGCTTAATTCAAGCAACTAACTATTGATTGGGTTATCGATTGAATCGGTCGGCTGTAAATCTTTAAAACGTGATGTGGGAAGTCCCTTAAAATCTACATATATTACAGGGAGGGTATTTTAAATTATGATAGCTAAAATATTAAAGCTTGTAACTATTAAATGATGAGTAATGGTGATTACACCTAGATAGTACATTGCAGGTACAACGCAATTGTAATCCAATCAACCATCCATCGAGAGTTAAATGTTATTACTAACTTATTCAAATCCAACCACTTGCTTTCGTTTAGATACGGGCCAGAAGTAGGCCATAAACACGTGGCCAGGCAATGGCCAACCTGGACTGGGAATGGGACTGGGACTGGGACCATGGTTGAAGTGGAAAATGGGAGTGGCTACTAACATCTTTACGATTCGGTGGCAATTATTAAGCGATTAAGTACCGATAATCTCAAAATCTTTATAATACGGGGGGCCACATAAAGGAATTCTATTTTCAGATGAGAGTTGGGCAGTTCAACAATTTTGTTTTGTTGCCACCATAAGGGATAAGGGCAATGGAACTTGAAAGCCCTTCAGGATCAAGCGTTTGATTTATTGGAACTGCGATTAATAGTACAGCTTAGCTTTAGTGTTAGGCATTAAATACTCTAGTTATGAAATCACATTTTTTACGTTGCAAAAAAAAAAAATGAAACAAGAAATGAAGAGGTCGTAATTGAAGGTTGTTCAATCGGGGACTTTTGTAACTCTCTTTGATTAACTCCCAAAAAACAAAATAGATACTCGGTATCTGTGATTCACTTGTTTTCACCCATTTTATAGCGTCGTGGCTATCATTCAACTTCAACCCGCTGTTCATACATCAGCCATATCCATTTATACCACCCATGAACCAGAGACGTGCTCCACACCCACCACCCACCGCCCAACCACCCACCCACTCGCCCATTGCTCTTTAATCAAATGCTTGTCAACATTGCAGCCAAAACAAAAACAATGGCAAAATTAAGCGCCTCACAAACGCCCTCGTTTATCTGCCCTCGAAGTTGTCGAATTAGACAAATAACAAGCCAGGTGAAGGTACACATATATCAGCTTTGGGGGCTGTGATATCAGGACTCTCCACTTGATGGATGGCGATTTCCAAGTGCAAATCACGTTTCTTTTTCAGTTTTTTGGGGTAATGCTTCGATTTTAGAAGCTTACGTGGTTGCATGAAGTCAGGGGCTTGTCTGTCATATTCCAGATCGAATCGGCAAAGAATGAGTAGCTTACGTGAGCCGGTTCCAATGATTTTCAAAATTGCCAATTCCCTAGGGCAGTAAATCATGGGTTTTACTGCCTTTACCTGTGTGTACCTTATCATGTGCTGAGTTTTTAAGTTAAATCGATTATTTAATTGATTTTCGCCAAGTCTTTAATTAACTTTAATATGACACCTTAGGGCCTAATAAATTTTCACTCTACTATTATGAAATATTGTTATTTCTATGGCTTAATATATGCAATAGTCATATAGCGCATACTTAAAGCTTGTAATTCGTCACCTACGTGGACTGTCGTAAGTAGGGCTGTCTTAAGTGTTGGAAAATGGGAAGTTTTTGTAAAATACCTGACCTTAAATATTTCATGAGGATAAAGTATGTTTAAATTATTATCTCTCAATTAATTTAGATAAGCAATTAATTAGATTAGAAGAGATTATTTAAATGGTTAGCCCTCCTTAGTGATGTCCTAACCTCACCCTTAGTAATGATTTCTTTAGTGTTGGAAAATGGAAAATTTTTTGAATTTTCGAATGCGGGAAATATGATTCAAATATTTCCTATGAATAAAGTGAAGTACAGTTAGATCGTTAGCTCTCAATTAATTTATACCCAATATCGGGTTCTCAAGTATGCTTCCTATGCATTATCGCAGAGATTATTCGCCAAAGAAAGGTTCCACACGATTAGCGCCGCCACCGAACCGTGATCCCCAGTCCCCCATTCCCGACTAACAGTTCGGAATGAGTTCCAATCGGATCAAGATTTACGGTCCCCCAGCGCCATCGGGATTTATATAAGCAATCGAATACGGATTGGCGAGAGGACTACTTACTACTTGGCATTCTGTTGGCCAGTCAGTCTATAGTCATATAGTACGATTTGTGTGTGTGCTCTTGATTTCGAATTCTTGTCCCGAAAAAACGGAAATCCAAATACCAAATCAAATCACGACTGATACTGGGAAATGAATGGCGACTTGTTTTTTGGGTCTGTACCTATTATTTCTATGAATTTCAATCTTAATGTTAAGTGTTAAAAGTGGTAAACAAAATAGTTAAAATTCCTGTCTTTAAATTCCGTTCTGTTTTTGTCGCTGGCTCCCTTCACGTGTGCTGGCTAATTGAAAATAATCGAAATTATTGCGAAATATTTCGCTTTTGGGTTAAAGTTTCTCGACACTCGCCTGACAGACCCGCGATTCTCCAGAAGTAATATCGAGTGAGAGGGCCGGGATCCATAAACGACTTTATGGCTCACAATTTTTAGGAAAATTTTTGCGCCACGAAATGAGACATGGGCCTGGCCGTCATAATCGGGAATCGTCACTCTTCTCCCAGCTGCCAGACGACTTGCCAATAAACCCATATACTAGACAGAGTAAGGAGGAGAGGCAAATCAGATCACATCGACTGTCCGATAAGTGGGTGGCTCGAGCAGTTAACGACCTTGAGTCTGGGGCCACAACTTCTCGATCCACCCCCGTAGATCCATATCGGGCAAACGGCTTCAAGAGGTCCCAGTGAACCCCCTTGAACCGAGGATACTGGGTAGTGACTTAACCTATCGCAAACCCTTAAGCCCACGGGCCCTGACAGTGGGTCAAATCTCTCCCCCCAGTTATCATCCAGACGCGATAAGGTTCCATTTTCAGGTCTGGATTGGATTGTGCAGTTTCTGGGTTCAGTTCGTTGTCGGTTGTCGAGGGCCGGAATTTTAATTATATGTTCTTTCGAGTGCCCTGCTCGACGAGTTCCATGGAGTGCAGTTAGTTGCAAAACAATTGTTTCAGTATGCAAACAATCATACCATTCTCGACTTGGCTCTCATAATCCTCACCAGCCGATCGAGTGCAGTCATAGTTGTCAAGGGCGCAGCCACTGAAGAGGGGTAAAGTTCCAAATGGGACAACAGTGGGTCTAGGTAGCACTAAAAAGGGGGTTTTGGGTTTTAGGGAATTAGGGGATTTTCGGATATATGTTTGAATGAAAATAATAGGATGTTACAATAATATAATATAATTCCAAGATTTAAAAAGCTCTTCCTGTTCTACAAACAGGAGAAAAACTTCAAGATCTTCTTTATATTTTTTAAGGATTTCTATACAGTCTAAGGATGGGGAATATCCCTTTTTAGAATGGGCTAGAAACAAAGTCACGTAAAACAAAGCATTTCACCAAATAATCAACTTCAATGGTTTTATTATCAAATTTTCTAGAAAGTAGTAGTATGATATTACAATCATACGACTTTTATTTCTTTGTCTATAAAGGTTCTTGAGGTTCTTTAAACCTTAAAAGGTTCTTAAACCTAAACTAATGCTTCTAAAGATATAGAATGTTTCCACTGTGTATCCTTTTATCGGGTGAAAGCCTTTTAAACTGGATTTTGTTGATGATTTGGCAAATTTTCCAGACCTAAGGGAGCACCTGGTGGAGCACTCTCTTAGCCACCGATGGGGCGACATTGTGGGTGTTTGTGGATGTGGAGGTGGCACCCCACACCTGCTATCTTATCGGGAGATATTGTACATTCTTACTTCGAACACCCGTACAAGCAATTAACAAACGATTCGGGGCTGCCATGGGGTACTCCCCTCACCTTCCGAAAACCCTTCGCCCCAAGCCCTCTAGACCCCAATCTCTCTCTGTGGGTTCTCTCCGAGATTCGGCCTTATCACCCAGCCGAATGGAAACGAGCCGATATTTAAGAATTCAACCCGTTCGTTGGGGCTTTCAGTGCTGTGTGATCATAAAACGGTGTTAGACGTGTTTGGGCCCTCCTCTATTCAACCCGAAGGGAACCCTGAAAAGCAAAAAAATCACAAATAATAAAAACAGAATATGGTTCAGTGATACGTACTACAAATGGATATTATTACGGCAGTGACAAGAACTCAAGTGCTACATAAACAGAGTCAGACCAAAGAACTGTAAACAGAATCCATTGGAATTCAGAATTCAATAACAAAGTGTACATTACCAGTGTGAACCACAAGTCAATAAAAAAAATAAAATTCACATTAAATCGAAGATACAATCATCGATTGGAAAGAATTGATACAACACTCAGAAGCATGAAATTAAGGTGGGTATTCTACTTCCAGGGAAGTGGGTCTCTGGGTATACGATTACCAGCTATACCAGCTGCTATCAATACCAACTTCCCCCCAAAATCACAGTTTCGTTGGAGCCTTCAAACGGCCCGATAAGCCAATGAAGGAACCGCCAATAATGGTTTCCTATCAGAGGACAGTACGAATGATATCATGGCGGAATATCCAATATATTTGTGCTATATTTAGTCACCGAATCAGACTTCCAGTCGGCCAGATAATACCAATTAACTATATGGTTTGACCTTTCAAAATCAATTTCCGATTCATTCGTGAAAGTCCCATATCAATGCTATCCAGAGATCCAATTATTAAACCTCGATTTTTGATATTTGCTGATGCAATCCCGTCCAGCACTGACGCATCTTGGTTGTCCGGGCTAATTACCTGGTCAACGAATTATTATCTCTGAATAAATTATACAATTTTATGGTTATTTGTTTAGATTAGTGGCACGTACTATTTGGCAGCTGTCAACCCGACTGTTTATTTGTTTTCTCCATCCAATTGTGGAGGCAGACTTTGTATGGCAGAGTTGTGTAGTTCCTTGTTGCCAGGCTGGGGATCGGGAGGAGGTCAATGGACACCGGTGGCGATTAGCTTGTTTATTGTAATCTGTCATAAATTCCTTTACTACATTTATAGGACCAGTTAAAATCAAGTATCAAATTACAGTTAGTACCGTAAATATTGTCACAGTCATCAAAAATACCCATACGATCGATCGATCGATGGAAACCAGAAATTGTGGGAAAAATTCTTGATTAAGTTTTTATTAAACGGGCCATAAAAATGATGGATAGGTTATGGCAAAGATTATAAAGTACATAGATGGGACATCAGGGCCCAAAACGGTCAACTTTTTGCGTCGAGCTTGTTGGTGAGGGGGGAACGCACATGCACACGATTCTATTTTTAGAACTCTTCACATGTATCCGTCAACAAAAATGTGAACCTATGTGTGTATGTGTGACTGCTCGCACGACGAAGTTAAAATGTTTTGGCTTCCAAATTTCAATTTCAATTTCTCATCGTTTCTGTTTACAATACGTCAAGTGGTAGTAGAACAAATAGTGCTTTTGTTCCGCGCTGATCGAGTCAGGGTGGTAGCCTAATGCGTAGAGTAATTGATCTCTGTACAATTTTTCTAGGTTCGAATCCTCCTTAGGATTTCGATGTTTTTCTTTTTTTTATTTATCTTTCAGCTCTTTCGATAGATTATATAAAATGAAAATGACTTGGTATATAAAGAAAATACTAAGGATATTAAAAATAGTATTAAGGATTCGGAAAATAATTAATACCCTAAATTTAGACATAGTTGGAAAATTTGTCTTAAAGGAACTGGTATTACTAAATAAAAGATATATAAGGAAAGCTGCTAAAAAAAAATTTTCAATTGGTCTATGGTATTAGAAGCGACAACATGAGCGGAACAAAGAAAAATTTAGCGATTTCTGGAATGAAATGCTGCGTTAAATCCTGCATGAAATCTAGGCGTCATTTTCCAAACCTAAAATTTTTTAAATTTCCGTCCGCGGATTTAATTTTAGGACAAGTATGGAGGGAAAAATGTGGCATTGTCTTGGAGGACTATAATAAGAATCTGAGAATTTGTGAAAACCATTTTTCGACGGCTTATATTGGGAAGAAGTTCTTGAAAAAGGAAGCTATTCCAACATTAAATTTGGATATGGCGTTGGAAGATGTGGCCTATGAGGAAACCTTTGAGCCAATCGGCGAAGCATATATTACAGAAGACCAGTGTAGGAAATGCGAAAAAATATTAAAAGCCAACAAGTTCTTTCAAAAAAAAAATCAAGCCCTATTAAAAAAAATTCAATATCTTCGAAAAAAATTATCACAAAGATATCCTTCAATTCGGCTTAAAAAAAAGGAAACTTCAAAAAGTGGTATTATTGACAGAATTGATTCCATTGAACACATTAGTCCAGAAACAAAAACGTTTTGCAAACTACTTTTGAGTAGACGACCCAAGGAGTACTCCCCAGAGGTACAATGGTTGGCCCAAAACATTTTCTATATGTCGCACTCAGCATATGCTTTTCTAAGGGACAATTTAAATTTGAACATGCCCCACGTAAAAACTCTATACCGATGGGCTCCTATGAAATTACTTCAACCGGGTTTTACAAACAATTCCTTTGAAAACTTAAAAAAAATGACTGCAGAAATAAAAAAAAATAATGATTTCCAAGTCGTCCTTGTGATGGACGAAATGGCAATTAGAAAAGAGTTGAGGTATAATGTTAATTTAGATTTAATAGATGGGTTTGAATGCGTAGGACTACAAAGAAATAATAAAATAGCTAACGAGACTTGCGTATTTTTAATAAAGTCAATCTTCTCAAATTGGAGTATGATTTTAAACTATTTTGTTTCCGAAAATGGCCTTTCAGCGAATGACCTATGTGAGATTATAAAACAAAATTTGAAAATTTTATTTAATTTAGGTATAGATGTAAAGGCCATAATATGTGATCAAGCTTCTGCCAACCGAAGTTGCTATTTTCAGCTCGGGGCTACTACGGAAAACCCTTTTTTTATATTTCAAAACAATCGTATTTATTGTATGTACGATTTTCCACATTTAATTAAATCATTAAGAAATGGTCTGCAGACCTGCGACTTAAATACACCAGACGGGCAGGTTAGCTACCAGGTCTTGAAGGAGTTGTGGCAGAAGGAAGAAGACCAAAAAACAAAAATGTGCCCAAAATTAACAAGAAAGCATATATTTCCAAACACCTTTGAGAAAATGCGAGTGAAATATGCGACACAATTGTTTAGTAAAACCGTTCAGGCGGCCATTAAAACCATTTGTGACACTGTGAAATTTAGTTCAGTCTCTAACGAAGTAGCCATATCTACTGCAGAATTTATAGAAAAGGTGGATAAAATTTTTGATTGCATGAATAGTGGGAGTTTATATGGACAAAATAAATACAGATCAGCGTTGCAAAAAAATAGCGAGTCATTGGAATATATAAAATATTTTAAGAATTATATAAAGGACGTTCATTTCGTAAATGAGAAAAAAAAAGTTTTCTTTTTGGATGGAATTGGGATGACTTTAAATGCTATTGTCATGTTATCTTCGGACCTTTTTAAGAGCGAAACTAAATTTTTTATTATGACAAAATCTTTTAACCAGGACTGCCTAGAAAATACTTTTGCTGTGCTAAGACAGAAGGGGGGAAATAATCATAATCCTTCAGTGGCTGAATTAAACTCGACTATGGCAAGAATAATGTCTTTTAAAGTTATTAGATATAGTTCATCTGCAAATTGTGAAATTGACGAGCCTCTTGAGCAACCATTTATATCAATGACCCCTGAACAAAATTCTTTTGACGAAGCTCAATTACTTGACGAAGACATCATAGACAGTTGCAACACAGATACCATACTTGACATTGATAATGACTATTTTGGATCTCTTAATTTTAACTTAAAACTTGTGTCTGAAAGGTATTTTATAGGTTATGTGGCCTCAAAGACCCTTCCAAAAATAAATTGTGACGCTTGCAAAAAAGATATAATAAAACAGGACGAAAGGATATCGGCGCCGAGTGAAATATTTTTATTCCACAAAAATTATCACTCGGATAGTGATTTCGGTAGTCTAATTGCCCCAACTCAATATTTTGTAAACGCCTCATCGACGCATATAGAAGTATTTGATAAGATTTTTAAACAACACCCAGAGGCGATTGGTTTAAGGGCCAAAATTGTAGAAGCATGTAAAAAATCGACACCAGTATACTTTGACGGAGATTGTAAGGATCACAAAATTAAAATATTAGAGTTTTTATTATTAGTTTTAATAAGAAAACATTGCGCGTGGGGTTTAGAAAAATGTAGCATTAAAGAAAAAAAATTAAAAATTATGTCCGGTAAATAAAGTTCCAAGGGAGTCCGTCCGCCATTTTGTCATCCACCACGTCCGATACTATTTTCCCCTTTCCGCTAATTTCTCATAATTAAATTAATAACAACATAATTATTTTTACAATAGTAACATTATGAATTTAAAAAGAATAATAATAAAGTTAATATAAACATATTAATAATGAAAACTAATAAAAGTGAATATTATAAAAACAATCATAAAAACAATCATAAAAAATCCATTTTCTTAATAACAGCATGAACCACCTTCTCTTACCCGTGGAATCGAACCCTGACCCTCAATGTTAAGGAGCGAGCGCTTTCCATCTAGGCTATCGTCGAAGTTGAATTTGTAATACTTAAAGTTGGTTATAAAGTTAGCGCTAGAATCCATACCAAAAACAGAGCTGACGAGTAAGGATAGTAGAAGATATTTCTGATCTCTTTGCTCTCACACTGGTTCGATTTGAACGTTTCAAACTTTCATCGTTCCAAAGATGTTACGATCTAAAAATAGAATTCTCTCTTTCCCTCTCTCATCTGCCAGCCGTTTGTCATGGAACCCGCTCTCAAATGTTTTCATTTACAGCGGGTTCCACGACGGAAAAAATGAAAACATTGAGAGCGGGTTCCACGACGCGGCCTGCCAAAATGCCGTAGAACCCGCACTTATAGACATTTTTACAGCGGGTTCCACTACGAACTGAGACGATGTTAAGGTGATTTTACAATTTTGTATTTTTTTTTATTGGATTATAAATTTAGGAAAACACATTAAAATAATAAAACAATAATATAAATAGATTTAAAATTAAAAAAAAATGGTTGTCCCGAGAAGGGTTTGAACTCGTTTTACTTTGTACACCAGCCAAGCACTCTACCACTGGGCTATTCCTCATTCTTTGTCGCGCGAAAAATTTCTCAAACTTAACTTGTCGCGCAATGGAACCCGCTCGTTCCAGCGGGTTCCACTGCTGGAACCCGCCATAGAAAATTTTTCTTTGTATGAGATGTCCCATCTATGTACTGTATAATCTTTGGTTATGGTTAGGACCGCCACAGATGGCCGCCGCGAAAAACATTTAAATCAGCCCCAGGAAGGGTTTCATCATAGATTGTCCATCGGCTCGAAAGGAGTGTGGATGTCGAGCCAAGTAATTCGATAAGGAGAAGAGTATTCGTATCGTATTCGTATCTGGAGTGGCGGGCGCCGACGATAAGGTCGTGGAATCAGCAAGAGCCATTGGTCTTGAGTAAGTTTTGGCAATCGTCCAATTAGAATTGCCGGCCATAAAATTGCAAGCGCCTTTTTCCCTATCCCCATCCGATTGGCTGCCCCCCCTCGACTCAACCTCAATGATTTTCACATGACTCGTAGAGTATATGGTGGAGATATCACTTCGCCTGGAGCAAAGTGCGTTAGCTTTTGGCATGGGCTTGCAGAATTTTTCCACTGTTCCAATGAATTAGTGCCATTAGTCAATGAAATAAATTGGCCATTAGATTGGCCCAATTAGTGGTTGAGGTTTGAGGTCTGGAATGCCTGGCTATGATGTCTGGCGATATCTCAAAACGTGATCCAATCAAAGTCCCAATTACCAAATATTCCACAATACCAGATCTCTATTGATTAATGGAGGTTCTGTTTGATTTCAATGTAAAGCCAGAGTCAGGTTTTTTGCTTTGTTAGGATGAACTGGCATTTTTAAAATATAGTTAGTCTAAAGTTCTTCTAAAACACTGTCTCTCTCTCTGGTTACAACGTCTGGGGAACTACACAACATTATTTCTAATTAAAGTTTGAACTACTGATTGGAAATATTACCTCTTCCAATGCGTCAGACAAGCTCCCAGACACCACCCCCTTTTTGGACCCCTGCCCTTCTCCATTTGGGGTCCATAGGAGCTTTATCTATTGCGTATTCTCAGTCGGGTAGTATAGTAAAAACCACGTAGTTCTCATCCGTATCTGTGTCTGTCTCGGGTGTGCTTCTGTGTGCTTTTAATTAAACATACATCACACAGGCAGTTCCGACGGAGCGTTAGGAGTTGGGTACATATACGTGGGTGAATGGTAGGTATATCTCGTGCCTTTTCGAGACTGTGTCTTTGGGGTGTATGCAAACACTTGTATTTGAGTATCTATATATAGTACGCTGATCGTGTTGACCGTGGGGATTGTTTTTCCTTAGAAGTCGTCGCCAAACAACCCGCTAAGTAAATTTGCCTTCGCTTCCACTTTTCTGCAGACTTTTGCGCTGTTTGCGCCAACAACCTTCAAAGCAGGCGGCGATCGGACAGAAGGAGGCCGAACTCCAGGCGGTGCATGATCACCACATGCTCAAGGACATGGCCAAGTCACCCTTCCGCGATACACCGGTAAAGATCCTGCTCCTGGGCACGGCCGAATCGGGCAAGACCACCATCATTAAACAGATGAGGATACTACATATCAATGGATTCACGGACGCGTAAGTCAACAAGGATATATTTTTATTATAATCTATATACTAAGGTAGTGTCTTATTCTGCCTTATAGTGAACGCCGTGATAAGGTACCTGAGATATACCAGAACATCCACGACAGTATCCTGCAATTGGTGGCTCAAATGGGAGTCCTCGGAATCGATTTCGGCAGTTGCACTAGCGAGCGATCAGCCGACTATATCCTCTCCCTGCCCAGCCTGGCCCCCGAATACATGAATGAGGTGAGTTTCGGTCTGTCAAGTATTCGTATCTGTACCGGGTATCTTATCCCTAGCTGCACTTCAGACACAGGGAAAACGACTTTGAAGTCGAATGGGACTTGCGTCAAATCTCTAGCGGCTTTCGGCCGATTCGTTATACCTTATCTTTCTATAGCGATTTGATTGATGGGCCATCCATTGGACAGCTAGGCGGGGAATGTGTCTGAAAAGTTTTCAAAACAAGTGTTTTGTAAATCGGACTTCCTGGCACAGCTTTATGTTTTTCAAGTTGCCGCACTGTCCCAGCTGCAGCGGTCTTTGGACATGATTCATCATCCACTTTCCCAAATCCACATACCCATACCCTATATATACATACAAGTATGTGGTTCTAACTCTACAGCCAGCGGTCATTATATGGCCTATGATAAGATTAGAAAATATAATAATGTACCATTCGGGCTTTAAACTGGGTGGGGGCTGGGCGGTACCTGCTGCCAGTCATTCAGGGTTTTATGTTTTACCCAGTGAGTAATCTGAATCTTTGAGAAATATGGCAAAAGTTAAGCACCTCTATGATATGGTGATTCGGTTCCGGTTGCCTGATTAGACAATGGCCCGATAAACACAAACCCACTTATTCCAACTGATTTTTTTGCCTACTGGTCGTGACTTTCTTTACATCATTAAACAATTAGTCTGCAATTCGATTAGAGGTTTCACAACTGAAGCCTTTTATTGCCAACTACTGCCAACCTCTTCCCGATTCTGAGAATAGTTTGATACCTTTATAATAGCTTTCTTTCGTAATTGTCTTACAACTTGGCAAACATCTGATTTTATTGCCTTTATCATAACTAAATATTTATTTTTTCTTTATTTTTAGGAGTACTGTGATCACGTCATGGCTCTCTGGAATGATGTGGGAATCCGCGCCTGCTACAATCGCTCCAATGAATTCCCTCTCCTGGATAGCGCGAAATAGTAAGTAATCCTTGAAAGATTTCATACCCTGGACTTCCATACTTACTCTTCTCTTATTTTTACTTCAGTTTCCTGGACAACTTTGAGCGGATCAGCGATGTTGAGTACATACCCAGCACCGAGGACATCCTGCACAGCCGGAAAATCACCACGGGCATCTCGCAGATCTCCTTCCGAGTGGAGATCCCCAAGAGCATGGGCGGCGGCGAGCAGGAGTTCCGCATGTACGATGTGGGTGGCCAGCGGGATCAGCGCAACAAGTGGATCCAGGTCTTCGAAGGCATCCAGGCAGTGCTGTTCCTCATCTCATGCAGCGAGTTCGATCAGAATCTGCGAGAGGATCCCACCCAGAATCGACTGCAGGAGGCCCTCAAATTGTTCCGAGCCGTGTGGCAGAATCGCTTCCTGGCCTCCGCCGGATTGATAGTCTTCCTCAACAAGTACGACATCATGGAGCGAAAGATCCGGGCTGGCAAGCACATTGTGGACTACTTTCCCGAGTACGAGGACTTCTGCAAGCGTCCCCAGCAAGACAATTGCTTCGATGAGAGCGACTGGACGAAGATGTTCATCAAACAGAAACTGGTGGACATCACCCAAGAACCCTTCAAGCGCCACTCGCGGAATCAGGTCGATCTGGGAACGTCGGAGCGGGAATGCTACTACCACTTCACCGTCGCCACGGACACACGGTGCATCAAGGATGTGTTCTGCGACGTCCAGAAGATGATCCTCTCGGAGAACGTGGCCGGAACGAGCCTGTTATAGATCGTTCGCCTCTCAAAAAATCAAGGGACTTCCCCGTGTCCCCGCCCAACTGTGATCTAGTAGGATATACCTTAAGTAGCCATGTAGGAGCCTTAGCTTGTAGTGGCATCGGACCAGTCATAGGTCATACGATGCCTGGTATAACGCTTTAATAAAAACTATTTAAATACTTTTCAAATAAGAAAGTCCTTTAAGGATTTATCTCACTTCTCGACAATCCAATGTTTTAATTCTTCTCTAAAGTGATGGGATCCCTTGAAAATGGTGTTTACCCCTATAGGGTCCACAGCGATGGCTATATCTTCCCCAATTCTCATCCGATTCTCAAGCGGAGTACCTTAAACGATTTCTAGATCGATTCGCCATCATTCTGCATCAAAATCCTGAGACAAAATATTTTTTCAATTTTTTGTCCATTTTTCCTGATGGGATCCCTTTAAAATGGGGTTTTCCCCTATAGGGTCCACTGTGATGGCTATATCTTCCCCAATTCTCATCCGATTCTCAAGCGGAGTACCTTAAACGATTTCTAGATCGATTCGCCATCATTCTGCATCAAAATCCTGAGACAAAATATTTTTTCAATTTTTTGTCCATTTTTCCTGATGGGATCCCTTGAAAATGTGGTTTTCCCCTATAGGGTCCACAGCGATCGCTATATCTTCCCCAATTCTCATCCGATTCTCAAGCGGAGTACCTTAAACGATTTCTAGATCGATTCGCCATCATTCTGGATCAAAATCCTGAGACAAAATATTTTTCAGATTTTTTGTCCATTTTTCGTTATGGGATCCCTTGAAAACAGGGTTTTCCCCTATAGGGTCCACTGTGATGGCTATATCTTCCACAATTCTCATCCGATTCTCAAGCGGAGTACCTTAAACGATTTCTAGATCGATTCGCCATCATTCTGCATCAAAATCCTGAGACAAAATATTTTTCAGATTTTTTGTCCATTTTTCCTGATGGGATCCCTTGAAAATGTGGCTTTCGCCTATAGGGGACCACTGTGATGGCTATATCTTCCCCAATTCTCATCCGATTCTCAAACGGAGTACCTTAAACGATTTCTAGATCGATTTGCCATCATTCTACATCAAAATCCTGAGACAAAATATTTTTCAGATTTTTTGTCCATTTTTCGTTATGGGATCCCTTGAAAACAGGGTTTTCCCCTATAGGGTCCACTGCGATGGCTATATCTTCTCCAATTCTCATCCGATTCTCAAGCGGAGTACCTTAAACGATTTCTAGATCAATTTGCCATTATTCTGCATCAAAATCCTGAGACAAAATATTTTTTAGATTCTTTTTCCATTTTCCCTGATGGGATCCCTTGAAAATGTGGTTTTCCCCTATAGGGTCCCCACTGATGGCTATATATATCGTTATATAAAATATAACGATTGGGTTGTGGTCTTAGATATTTATTTCCTAAAGCAAAGACTCAACCCACAGCTTGTGACGATTTTTACTTCACATAGAAATTTTACAAAAACATTCCAAAATTCAAGAGTTTCCAAAATTTCAAAATCAATTTATATATCGTAGACCCATTTTAACAGATAATTACGATCAAACATCAAGTCCTGGCTTATTTTTTAAAAGAAACCCACATCCCCATTTTGGAGGCACCACATCGTTATATTTCAGTATTTTTTTTTCGTTTGTGGTAAAATTCTTAGTTTTGTTTATGAGATCTTAATTTATTTATATGGACAGAATAGAAAACTTAATTAGTAAGTAATAGAAATTCAAGTTTAATTAAATTTAAAATTTAATTAGAGCGGAGAAGAAATTTCGCCATCCCTAGAAACTATCGTAAGATAATGCTCTTATCAGCGAACTGCTTAGGGAGGTCTGGTCACACCGAATGGGGGGTCTCGAAAGTTGGTTTTTTAAAAACCCTCCGTCCCCAAGTCAAAAAAAAACCGTCGAAGCGAGCAGACCGCAGATCCGCTTTGCGCCGGCATAATCGAGGAAATCGCTGCTGGGTAAAAGTGTTATTAAACAAAACGTGTAACGCGTGCGTTGAACGCCCAATAGTAGTTTGGCCAGCGATTTGCCAGAGGAGGCGCAACAAAAGTAAATATAAAGCCATTTGCCGCATTTTCTGTTTTTCTGTTTCCGTGCAAATTAGTGAGTGATTCCGTCGTGTTTTCCGTGTCGTGGTGGTTGCTATCGTACTCTCTTCGCCGATGCTGTGAGAGAGGGCGGCTCTTTGGCCAGGCTTGGATGATTTAACGTGTATTTTTATCCCAAAAACATTTCACAGTTTCTTTACTTTATCGATTACATCGTGCTGTGCTCCATGGCAAGTTCAGGAGCAAATCATATATAAGTAGGAAAAAGTTAAAGCGAAACGCGTGTTTTTTTCGCGAGAGCATAATATAAGACGGGCTAGGTGGTGGGGGGGAGGGCGAGTAGCGAGAGAGAAGAGAATTATGGTGTGATGTTTTGGAAACACGAAAAAAATTTCTAGTGAAATTTTTGAAAGCGCTGCAAAAAAAAAAACCGGATATGTTGCCGACCTAAAGAGAGAGAAAAAATAAAAAACCAACCAAAAAAAAGCTTTTAAAGCCAAGCTTAACCAAAAACGAAATCACCTGTGAGCGAGTAAAAGAGTGTAAGAGTGTTGGAGTGTGAATGCGTAGGCAACTGTCGCGTGTCTGGCATGCAATTAGGCATTCAAATAATTTCCCTCCCACCGGCAGGCGCCTCATTTGTATTTCTGTTTTGTATATTTGCGGTTTTTTTTCTATTTCTTCTATTGCTGTCTTTCTGCTTGCTTATGCATGCATTCCTTCCGAGTTCTGTTCGCACGAGACTTGACAAACTGAGAGATTGGCCGACTGAGCAATTGACCAGGCATGGCCGCCAGAATGGCGCGCTCTCTCTCTCTCTCTCGCTATTGTGCCGCCTTTCCCGCCCCATAAAATCTCCCAAGCAACACACAACAAAAAAAAAACACCCTAGTTACAGTTACAGCAGCCCACCGTCACCGCGTCCCCTTCTCCAGCCTAGTTTGTGTATCTATGCTTGGGCACGAGGTGTGAAAAGCGTGGAAGAAAAGCGGAAGATGACCACAAAGCGTGCGCCATTCATGAATCTCGAGCTTGAAGAGAGCAAGAGAGAGAGAGTGATAGTGGGTGGATGAGATGAGGAGGGGGAGTAGTGGGGCGGAAGGACGCTCTCATGGACCAGCTAGTGGGTTATTTTCGCAAAATCAATGGAGGGGCTTTATGGGGCCAAGGCGAGAAGAAAGCGGGCTGGAGTGCGGTGGGGGTGTTGGGACGGGATGCGGGATGAAGGGGAAAGGAAGGTCGCAGCGGCGAGCCGAGAAATTTATGCGACACACGGTGCGCTTTAATATGACGGGTGTGTGTACGTGTGTGTGTGTGTGTGTTGGAAAGAGAGATGTGGGGGAGTGGCGCGCGGGCGGAACTATTGTGAATTCAACTTTGAATATCTTCGTTACGTGAGGCAGAGATTCCAGATATTGGCAGTAATGGAAGTCCCCAGAATGTTAAATAATTGAGTTTTAAAAAAAAATAATGACTTAAAAGTATATATTATATGGTTATTTGAAGTTATATTATATATATTGGTATATATAAGATATAGGATACTGTAAGTGTAAGGATTGGAACTAAAAGTATGGACATGGCTGTCATTTGTGAGAATTATAGAGTAGAAGGACCTTGAAATGGCCTTGTTTGGATTGAAAATTATGAAAAATATTGGAATTAATAAGGAAAATATTAAATTTTAATTAAAACTGCTCTAAAAAGTGATACTCTTATTGATAAACTCTAATAATTAAGCTTAAAATACATTAATTCCTGCCAAGTTTAAAATATAATTTTAATGAAAAGTTCCTCTTTAATAACCTGCAATATAAACCCCTTTACTTTCCTCCCATAGCTGGACATATAAACCCTGCAACTTAGCCACCATACAGACCCATCCAACCCACCAGCCTACCAGTCCAGCCCAGCCAGACCAGCACAATGATCAACATGGACATCAGCGTGACCCCCAACTACTCGTACATCTTTGACTTCGAGAACGACTTCATCCACCAGCGGACACGCAAATGGATGCTGGAGAACTGGACATGGGTGTTCTACTACTGCGGCATCTACATGCTGGTCATATTCGGGGGTCAGCACTTTATGCAAAATCGGCCGAGGTGAGACATGTGTTTTCATTATAACTTGACTGGCTTTTTTGCAAAATCAGCTAAAAAATTCTTATAATATATATATAGGTATAGGTAATTTCCCCTGGGGCCCAACCTTGAGATTGGGACTGGAGAGGGAGGAGTGGCTGTTGTGATTGTTAATTACGCCCACCAATCTTAACCCACGCCCTCATAGACTTTGGCCAGTTCTGGCTGTGTATGTTTCCTTGGAAACCCTGGCATTTGTTCTCGAGAAAGTCTATGATGTTATTTCCACGACAGCTGTTCCGGTTTCCACCAACTATAATTATATGAAATTATAGCTAATCAATCGATCATTAGGTGTGGGTGGGTGGAGGTGGATAGATTTCATTCCTGCAGTCTCAATTACACAATAATTGCATTAAAATGTGCATTTTCCTCCACACGCAGCACAACCACCCATCCACCCACACTTGAAAAACAAATATTGGCTTTAAGTTCTACGATTTTGTGTAATTTTTTGGCCATTTTCCATAACAACTACCATGTCTCGGACTACTACTACCTGTTACCTAGTCTTCAATTGCCATTTCGTGCCGACAATTGTCTCGCTTTGGGGGCTACCCCCTCCTCCCTCCTGTTTCTAATTGTCGTCATCGGGTTTTGTGGCCAAAAAATAAGTTTCAGGCCTCGTGACATGCCATTTATGGGGCCATGATCCAGTCTTTTTTCTGATTTATTATCAGACGGAGAATATTCCTAAAAAGATACCTATTTAAGCTTGACTAACTTCACTAGCTTTTGGAAAAAATATATGCTTATATAATTATTGGAGAAGCGAAACCCTACCCACACTTGTCCCACGCTTCTGGGAATTATAATAGGGGCTTGGCCAATAGAGATCTGCCGGTTGGTTAAGACTTTAGTGGTCAGAGGTGTTGCTACTTTTCCAATATTGTCCCACATGGTTGTACATACAAGTGGACTTGGTACAGAGAGGTGTGAATTAAGGGCCTTACCCTAGGGTCTAGGGTCTAGACTTAAGGGCTAACTTTAAGACTTAAAAACAATTACAGTAGAACCACGTGTTTGCCTTAAACAGATTCTGTTTTTGTCTATATAGACATGAATACTCCTATATATATATATATATATATATATATATACAATGTATAAGGTAGCGAAGCCGGCTGGTTTTGTTATCAGGCCTTTGGCATTGTCACTACCTTGCTTTTCCATTGGAAATATTTCTGGTCTGGTTCTGGTCTTATCATCAGCACACACTCTTTCCAAAAGCCCCCTCGAACACGCCATACACTCCCCACTATCCCACTGGTATCCCAAAACCAACCCACATGGCATAAGCTCCGAGCTGTTCATTACTCTCGTTCTGGGTTTTCGGGGTAATTGGTTATGATATCACTTGGTTATGATTCACCACTATTATGACCGCGAGTGTATGCTTTTATTTAAATATTTTTAGAGAGAGTCCATCGTCCAATGCATTCTCCACCTCGTCGGTGGTTTTCCTCTAATATGTAGTTAGTTTTTCTCTGCTTTTCACTCGTTTCGGACAGTGAGCCATTAAAGTCATTAAACTGATTAGGTTTATAGGTAGTACACGCCATGTACTCGTTGTTTTTTTTATTTTTTACATGTTTGGAGCAAAGTTCAGTTTGGGGGGGCATATGAAGTGGCATGCAAGAAGTGGGTGTGTCGGGACTGAACAAAAAAAACCACCCACTGGAGTTGCCATGAAGGACGATGGCAGGACATTCACTTATCCAGAGTCCCCTTTTTGAAGAACTACCCAGTGGCGGCAGTAGAAGGGTTTTCCAGAAATTCTTAAATATTTTAAAGAAAGACTGGTTGGAAGACTGGCTGGGCTTTAAGGTCTCTTCTGGTTCTGTAACTACAGATTTGGAAAAACTGGAAAACCAACTACCTGTAAGCCAGTGTTTCTTTTGGGCTTTGCGTGTGGCAGCCTTATATGGCTGTCAGGTGGGTGAGAAAATAGTGTGGGGGCACCGGAGCTTACCGCTTACACTGAAGTTTGTATATTTTATTTAATTTTGATTGATTAAATCATTCAGTTGCCTAGTTGCCTAGGCAGTAGGTTCTTCCTGGCGTCTCTGAACTCCAAGTGTGACGAGGACATTGGAGTTCAGAGACACCAAAGACCCATGGAAAGTGTCCTTTAATGTTTCCCCAACACGCTACCTTAGAGGGCGGTAATACACTGCTCCAAAATACATAGAAGTTTGCTTTGTTTTTCTGTTCAAATGCGGAAATTATGCAACTGCACAATTATATAAAAATTGGCGAATTAAATAATAATTGCCGCAATGACAGGCGAATTGAAGTCGACACCCTGTGAGGGGCACCTGCGATTATTGTCGCAATTACCAGCCAGCATTTAGTTAACTTGGCTAACAATTACCTAGCCCCGAACGGCGATAGAAATCCAACTGAGAAGAAAGAGGCAAAGAAAGGTGTTGCTCTGAAAGTGAAACTAAAGTTTATTTGGGCTATATGTGTGTATATATGTCCATATATTAACAAGAAATTAACGGCAACCGTTAACGCAAACAGTTGGCCAAGAAATGCGGCCGCTGACAAGCAAATCTTGTTAAAGTATGTCACTTTAGGCCGCATTTCTTTGATGGCCATCTGCCTTTGATCTTGGTAAAGCTCTCTCTCTCTCTCTCTCTATATAGGCCCTTTTAGATCTATGGTATACTTCCTCTTCTTTTAAATTTTATGGTCAACAGCATCTTGGTATCAGGCCACTTTTACTTTCCACCTGGCCCTCGAAAATAACTTGTTTTGACGGGTTTTCTTGGCTTTCTTGGGTATGGTATGGTATTGAGAGCTTATCGGCCACCTGTTGGTGATTCTAGCCATGATTCAGAGGTAATACTTGACAGAAAAATAATTGAAGCTATCTCTGAGTCATTGGGGATATCATCCTGATAAGGTTGAGACTTAAGGATCTTAGGTATTTGGGAATTATTAAAGAAATATGAACTAACTAGCTATTAGCTCTATTTTTTGTCTAGAAACTTAATGATAACTAAATCCAATTACTAAAATATCACTAAATAAGGAAGTACCTCTCTTAATAAAGCTTAATCTTAAGCTTAAAAATAGTAACCTTTTTTTTTAAACAATCTCTAAAAAGAAACCTTTAACCTTTCCTCTCCAAAAACCTTTCACAACCTTTTTAAATTAGAAACCCCCCTTTGAAGCCAACTTGGTCAATGCCTTTGACATCCAATCTGGACAGCCAAGGCATAATGATGAATAATAATTAAAAAAATAAATTCAAAGCAAAAAAAAAAAAACCTTAATTATGGCTCAACATAAACCCAGAAAGCTACAAAGAGTTTTGCAACCGAAAGCCAAAATAAAAAATTTAAAAAAAACCCTGTCGCATCAATTTCGCTTTAATGTTGCGAATTTTTTTTTGCAAAACATTTCCATAATACATTATGTATATGTCTTTGATTGGAAAAGCTTATGTATTAATGGATGAACTCTAGTCGGAGGTTAAAACGGGCCAGAAAACTAAGCCAAATTCAAAGCAAACGGTCAATAATCAATTGACCAACTTTTATTGTTGCTTTTTTTGCAGTGCTTTGTTTTCTTTTTTTTTTCCAGCTTTTGTTGACTTGCATAATGTATGGGTTTATATAGTATATAGTATAGTATATATGGCATGTCTCCCCGTCGTCGTCGTCGTCGACTTTTGTTTACATATTTTGCAAAATCAGGTTTTAAAGCTCCCCATCTTTCTATGACTCGACTCTTGGCTCTGTCTCTTGGGGGTTATGCAATTTTTGCCACAAAGTGAAAAGCAAAAGAAAGTTCATCATCATCAAGCTTCCCTTAAGATTGTGCTTCATCATCGTGATTAGGTGATTTTCTCCTTATAATATATAGGAGCTATATATTAGCTTATCGGGCAGATCGCAAACTCCCCAGGAACCAAACAACTGGCACCCAGCATCGTTTCCCCGAACACAAAAGTAGGTGCCGGTTCACTCTGCCGGACGCCACCTGTCGGTCAGGATTGGGGGACGACCTGTGCCCTTCCAAAAATTGTAGCTTCAAGAGATGGCTGGTTGAGAGCCATCCCTCTGCCTAGAAGCCAACACTACCAAGCGATTAGCAAGGCAAAATTGGTTTTCCTTACTCATTAGTTTGAGGCACGAGTTGGCCAGAGTCTGTGGCAGGAAGCTCATGAGAGCGCAGCTAGAACCAGTTGCGAATTTTTGGTGCGCCATGGGGGAGAAGCTTTTATGAGAGGGGGTAGATTTTTGATTTAGGGAAGAATAGGACTTGTTTTGGGTAATTTTAGGGGGGGAATAGTAGCCAATAAATTTAAATAAATGCCTAATATCTTAAGAATGTTGAGGGTTAATGTTTTAGTTTGAAAATCTTTTAAAAAAATCATTTTTTCAAGGTCTGTTCTTATCATAACTCTAAAACTACTCAACCAATTGTTTTGAAATTTGAAACACAACTTTAGGATATATTTTAACAGATAATCCTATAGAGTTTATGCATTAAAATGTATTTATTTTATAATATAAACTAAAACATTGATTAGATCTTTTATAAAAGCCTTTATAATTCAATATTTTTTAATAACTTTCCTTGCTTATCTCCTCCTAAACCCATCCTAGTTGATGGACTTATTTTGCTGGCATTGAGCTTAATTGTGATTAATATAAGCGACATTTTAAGATTCCCAACTAGAACACATGGAACTCGTAGAACTCAATTCCTTAGATGAGCACTTCCGCTCCAGCGGTGGCCTGGCTGCCTGCCCCACCGTTGCACCTCTCTCTGAGAAACGCAGCTTAATTGCCTATTACGTGGTCTGAGGTTTATAGTTCTAAGGTTCTGAGACCAGTCTCCGATAAAAGTCAATCTTTATGACTCGGTTTTGGGGGTATATATTACTCAGTATAGATCGATAAACCAGCCTGCTGACGCACTTTCCGGCTGAAAAAAAAACAAAAACAAACACTTTCCATATTTGCTCTCAACTTTCGACTCAAGTATTTGGCAGATACATCACTTGTTTGAATTACCAGCCGGTGTGAAAGGTTAAAGAAATCAATTTTTTCGGTTGGACATTCAGTTGGAAAATGTTGATAACAAAAATCACATACTTTTTGGTTTAATTGCCTACGTTTCTGTGTGTGTGTGAGTTGTGGGACTTTTTATGACTAACCCTCGGATCCCCTCGTACCATCTGGTATATATATGTATGTAGAGGGTACTTTGATAAGGTCTGCTGATTGATTTGCCAGCCCATCGATTGCGTAAACTTAATTACTAATAGCAGATTAAGTAAACAGTATTTAGAATCAGTTCTTAGTTGTGAATTAACTCAAGGGCTGATATGGTTAGACTCTGGGAATGATTCCCGAAGGCGGAATCTCTAAAAAGAATTCTTAAGAATCGCTAATTAAAATGCTAAACAGGTCTCTGGGTTGAGTGGTCTCCACAAAACAGTCTTCAAATCATCATCTCTCCCTGTAATCAGTGGAAATTGCAATCCCCGAGCCCAGACTATACTTTAAGTGGCCTGACTGACAACAACTCATATTATCTGTACTATTGGGACGCATTCTGGGATCAGGCCATTATTATTTTGATGATCAAGCAAATCACTAATGCCGGCTGGTGCACTTTTCGGTGACCTTGTTGCAGTTGGCAGTTGGGTTGTTGCGGGTTGATGTCATTCCATTATACATTACACAGAAAATATTCGCACAAATATTCGAAATGCATACAATAAATAGTGCCCACCTACCAACCCAGTACTTGATCTTTGGCTGTCACGCTCGTCTAGGACGTCGAGATAATTGGAAAATTTATTTTTTTTAAAGTTTGTTGATCTTTGTTGAATGTTTATACCGTTTGCATTAGTTAGCACCTATTAGTGCGGGTAAATATGCATAAATGAAGTGACAACGGACGTTATATTATTGAATATATATATGTATACGTCTCGGAAGTGCAATGGGGTCAATGGGAAAGTTCTAGCAGAATCCGAGATTTAGTACTTTTCCATTAAAATCTTTCCATCTTTTTTTTTGTAATACAGATTTCAACTTCGAGGTCCTCTGATCATATGGAACACAATGCTGGCCATGTTCAGCATCATGGGTGCTGCTCGTACTGCCCCGGAGCTGCTGCACGTGCTGCGTCACTACGGACTCTTCCACTCCGTTTGTGTGCCCAGGTTGGTGTTAACCCCAGACCCAGACCCGGCTCAAGGTCACTAAACCTGACCGATGGGCTGAGACAAACTTGATTTCCGATCACTGACCGATATTAATCTCCGATCTCCCCTCCAGCTACATCGAACAAGATCGCGTTTGCGGCTTCTGGACCTGGCTCTTTGTGCTCAGCAAGCTGCCGGAGCTGGGCGACACGATATTCATTGTGCTCCGCAAGCAGCCTCTGATCTTCCTGCATTGGTGAGTACATCTACAAGTATACAAGCTTTGAAATGTTTTATTAATTAAAGTATAACCTGACGTATTAGGTACCATCACATCACCGTGCTGATCTACTCGTGGTTCAGCTACACGGAATACACCAGCTCGGCACGCTGGTTCATCGTGATGAACTACTGCGTCCACTCGGTGATGTACAGCTACTATGCCCTGAAGGCGGCCCGCTTCAATCCGCCCCGGTTCATTGCGATGATCATCACGTCACTGCAGCTGACGCAGATGATAATCGGTTGTGCGATCAATGTGTGGGCCAACGGATTCCTGAAGACACACGGCACCCAGTCATGCCATATCTCGCAGCGCAACATCAACCTCTCGATCGCCATGTACTTCAGCTACTTTGTACTGTTTGCGCGCTTCTTCTACAAGGCTTACCTGGCGCCCGGCGGTCACAAGAGCCGGCGCATGGCTGCCTCCCTGGCGGCCCAGAATGCGGTCAAGCAGTCGAGCAGTCCGCCCCAGGACAGGGATGTCACCTCAAAGTTCATGGTTGGCGGCGAGGATCAGGCCGCCTATCTGCGCAAGACCAAGGCGCAGTAAAGGAGACCGACCTACCCATATCCCCTACCTACCATTTCCCTATCACTCTCCCTGTTAACGGCTAAGGACATTTATTTATGTAGCGAGGTGTACGAGTTGTTTTTTAATTTTAATCCCGGGTGGCACACACACTGTAACTGCAACACACACACGGTTGGATTGTCGGGAGACAGTTTAATTTTTAATTTAAGAAAAAAGTTGTACCGACACAGGCATGCAAGCGATACTTTATATATCTTGAAAGTGTATATAAAAAAAAAATAGAAAGCAAAAGCATATAGAATATGTGTGTACGCAATGGGGTTTCATCGGAGCATCGGTCGAACAATCTAGGAGTATAGCATTAAACTTTCACACACCTCAGGCATTGATTTAAAATCTGTAGACAATTTCTACCAAAGTAGAATATTAAAAAAAAGGGAAAAGGATGCTTGCTTTACCCCAGACGAGTCAAGGATATATACATATAGTTCTACACATGCCAGTTCTGAACGTGTTGTGTTGTTGTCAAGCCCAAAGTCGTATATATATATATTTTTGTAATATATCATTTGCAGAAAATTAATTGACAGATAGTTTTGCCTTCTCAGGTGGGAAAAAATTTAGTGAAAATTGTCAGAAAAGTTTAGATGCCAAAAGCTTGGCTTTTCCGAAAAAATGAAAACAAAAAAAAAACACATTTCAGTAGTGTGGGGTCTGAGAACTTTGTACTCTTAAGTCTATACGCATATATATATATATATATATTTATAAACCTATATTAACGAAATATTAAAAACCAAGAACAGAAAACTATAAGTTAGTCTATTGTTCCAAGATCCAGAGCGCAAATTGTTATTGTAATGTTTTTGAAAAAGTTTCTGAAGAAAATGCTTTTTTGGATTATTTTGGTAGAATCGTAGTAGTTCCAAAATGACAATTCGAGTAAAATGGTTCGATTCTTTTCGAAGGGAAGGCATTTATTTTAGTTAGCCTGTGTTGAATGCATTTTTTTGTATAATTTTCAAAGAATAACTTGCTTAGAAGAATAAAAAAATAAAACAAATAGTTTCTACAAAAACAAAAGTCCTTGAACGAAAAAAACAGAGAAAATGAAAAATTATATTTATATTTTTAAGCAAAAAGAGAAAAGAAACATAAAAAACAACATAGCGATACCAAGAAATTAAAAAACAAAAGCAAAAGTCCTACTTGAAAAGTTAGTTTTTAGTGTAAACTTTAACTGAAAATGAAGCTGAACGAGGATCGTGTGAATGGAGAGAAGGATAGTTTACTCTGAAGGGAGCGAAAGTGAAATTGAAACGAACAAATTTGAAATTTTTGTCGGGTATACATACTAAACAAAACTAAGCATAACAAAACTTAAGATGCAAAATGATAAAACCAACGGATAAATAAAACGTAACAAATGGAAAAGGATGGAAGAATTAAGCTGGTGTTTTTATTTTTATTTTTATTTATGGGGGCTACATGGCTATATATTCTCCAATTCTCAAGCGGAGTACCTTAAACGATTTCTACATCGATTCGCCATCATTCTGCATTAAAATCCTGAGACAAAATACTTTTTAGATTTTTTGTCCATTTTTCCTGATGGGTTCCCTCGAAAATGGGGTTTTCCCCTATAGGGTCCACTGTGATGGCTATATCTTCCCCAATTCTCATCCGATTCTCAAGCGGAGTACCTTAAACGATTTCTGAATCGATTCTCCACCATTCTGCATCAAAATCCTGAGACAAAATATTTTTTAGATTTTTTGTCAATTTTTCCTGATGGGTTCCCTCGAAAATGGGGTTTTCCCCTATAGGGTCCACTGTGATGGCTATATCTTCCACAATTCTCATCCGATTCTCAAGCGGAGTACCTTAAACGATTTCTACATCGATTATCCATCATTCTGCATCAAAATCCTGAGACAAAATATTTTTTTGATTTTTTGTCCATTTTTCCTGATGGGATCCCTGAAACTGCGCTTCTCCCCTATAGGGTCCACTGTGATGGCTATATCTTCCCCAATTCTCATCCGATTCTCAAGCGGAGTACCTTAAACGATTTCTAGATCGATTTGCCATCATTCTGCATCAAAATCCCGAGACAAAATATTTTTTAGATTTTTTGTCCATTTTTCCTGATGGGATCCCTTGAAAATGCGGTTTTCCCCTATAGGGTCCACTGTGATGGCTATACCTTCCCCAATTCTCATCCGATTCTCAAGCGGAGTATCTTAAACGATTTTTAGATCGATTATCCATCATTCCGCATCAAAATCCTGAGACAAAATATTTTTTTGATTTTTTGTCCATTTTTCCTGATGGGATCCCTGAAACTGCGCTTCTCCCCTATAGGGTCCACTGTGATGGCTATATCTTCCCCAATTCTCATCCGATTCTCAAGCGGAGTACCTTAAACGATTTCTAGATCGATTTGCCATCATTCTGCATCAAAATCCCGAGACAAAATATTTTTTAGATTTTTTGTCCATTTTTCCTGATGGGATCCCTTGAAAATGCGGTTTTCCCCTATAGGGTCCACTGTGATGGCTATACCTTCCCCAATTCTCATCCGATTCTCAAGCGGAGTATCTTAAACGATTTTTAGATCGATTCTCCACCATTCTGCATCAAAATCCTGAGACAAAATATTTTTTAGATTTTTTGTCCATTTTTCCTGATGGGATCCCTCGAAAATTGGGTTTTCCCCTATAGGGTCCACTGTGATGGCTATATCTTCCCCAATTCTTATCCGATTCTCAAGCGGAGTACCTTAAACGATTTCTAGATCGATTCGCCATCGTTCTACATCAAAATCCTGAGACAAAATATTTTTTAGATTTTTTGTCCATTTTTCCTGATGGGACCCCTTGAAAATGGGGTTTTCCCCTATAGGGACCACTGTGATGGCTATATCTTCTCCAATTCTTATCCGATTCTCAAGCGGAGTACCTTAAACGATTTCTAGATCGATTCGCCATCATTCTGCATCAAAATCCTGAGACAAAATATTTTTTAGATTTTTTGGCCATTTTTCCTGATGGGATCCCTTGAAAATGGGGTTTTCCCCTATAGGGTCCACTGTGATGGCTATATCTTCCCCAATTCTCATCCAATTCTCAAGCGGAGTACCTCTAACGATTTCTAAATCGATTCGCTATCATTCTATATCAAAATTTTGAGACAAAATATTTTTTAGATTTTTTGTCCATTTTTTGTGATGGGATCCCTTGAAAATGGAGTTTTCCACTATAGGGACCACTGTGATGGCTATATCTTCTCCAATTCTCATCCGATTGTCAAGTTCTGAAGATTTTTCGTGTACAAAGAAGATTTTTATTTTAAGCTTAAATTTTGAATAGCCCGCGTTATCGATATTCATCGATACCACAGTTGCACTCTTCAAACCGGAAGAGATTGAACCACCTTGCAGCGCCGTCGCCCTCGCCCTTATTTTTGTATATATTTTAAATTAAAAGGAGTGTGCATTTTAAAAATCTAGTGTTAAACGATAAAAACAAATGTTTAAACTTCAGATTTCCATGCGAAAAGGTTGGTTAAGCATAAACCGGTTGGGAACCGAATAATTGTTCCAAAGAACTAGTTCTTCCAGAGAGACCAGCGACTTAAACCCCACTGTTAATGTGGGGGATTCTCTGAGGCCAACAGTTTGGTTACACTAATCAAATCCAAAGGTACAACGTCGCGGATCGTCGTGCGTGTGTGTGCAAATGGATAAAATGCAGAGATCTAGATAGAGCAGCGCACAGGCAGTGGATATCCGGAATATGTTAGCCTGATCCGTCTGCGGACCGAACCGATTAAGACGTGACAAGAGTTGAGGCCGATTCGGAGCAGCCATAGTGTCGCAAGTCGAGAGTCCAAGGAGCCAGTCGAGACAAAGTGCATTTTCAGGGCGTGTTTGTGGCCCCCCGCACCCACTGGCCCGCTGGCCTCCCCCCCGCGAACACGCAGCCTCCCCCGTCCGTTGGTGGCGACAAAAAAAAATAAATAAAAAGCTTGCCCGCAAGATGCTGCAAATTCGCAATTCCACCTGAAAATCAACAGCAATCGACGAGCAGCAGCAGCAGCAGCAAAAATTTGCAAAACTTCCTTTTCTGCGTGTGTGTGGTGTGGTGTCTCCAATCTCCAATTTCCAATCTCTTTTTGTCTACTCCAAAACGCGCAGAAAGAGAGCAAAAGAAAATGTGTGCGTGTGTGTGCAAAGTCTGTGTGAAACAAAACGTAATGAAATAAGTTAAAGCAAAGGCAAATAATTGATTGCAAGTGCCAGCCGAAGAGAAAAAAAAAAATATATAAAAGTTTAAGGAGTACTACTAGTGCCTAGTACTAGTAATTGCAGAGGCCATAAGCCAGGAGGGAGAAGGAAGCAGGAAGCGCGAGAGAGAAAAGTGTACAAGTTGTTGTTGCTGCGCACGAGCGATAGCAACGGTAAAAACCACCCGACCGCCCACTAGATATGGGTGCTCAGCAGGGCAAGGAGCGGGGCTCGCACTCCGGCGGCGGCGGTGGCGGTGGCGGCAGCGGTGCCCCCGTCAGCTGTATCGGCCTCTCGTCGAGCAGCAGCCCAGTGGCCTCCCATTCGCCGCACTGCATCAGCTCCGGCAGCTCCAGTAACGCCCCCCTGGGCGGTGGATCCACATTGCGCGGCTCCCGCATCAAGTCCTCGTCCTCCGGCGTTAGCAGTGGGGCCGGTACACCCAGTGGCCTGTCCCAGCGTAGCGGCGGTGGCAACCACAAGGACTCCTCGAGATGTAATCCGTCCGTGGGACTCAACATCTTCACCGAGCACAACGGTAAGTTGGCAGGAAGCTTCACCATCTGCATGAAATTGTATAGACTATAGGGGGGGAGGGGACTGCGGCGGGGTGGGGGCATTGCACCCCCCAATCACTCACCTAAGCACCTGCTAACATGAAAGTGCATGCAGCATCAGCATCCCATTCGAGTGTAAATTTCATCATAAAAGTGCGAGGTCAGCAAGGAAGCCAAGGTCAACTAAAAAAAAAAAAACTAATTTTTATTAATTTTCTTATTTAAAATGTAATAAAAAAATTAAATCCTCATATTGTACATAAAACTGCATTCTTATTATCTCCCTCCCACACTCTTACTCTACTCTTCCCTCGCTCTTACTCTCACTCACTCACTCTCTCCCTCTCTTCATGGTGCTTTCCAATTGAGCCAATTTCTTCTTCCCATTGCTTCCGATTCCGTTTATATTGGGAATTATTGTTGTAGAAGGCGTCCCACACGTCGTCTTATTATTGTTATTATTATTGTTGCTGCCTGCCTGCCTGCCGGCTAGTTGGCATTTCTCTCTTTTTTTGTTTACGGCAGCGAGAAAGAGACAGGCGAGTAGAGCATGCAACGACTTGATGGAAATTCTATGTTGTTGCTATTGTTTGTGTGTCGCCGTCTGGGGCGGTTTCTGGGGTTCTGCTTCTTGCCACTTTTCTTCCACATCATTATTTATCCTCTATACTTCATCCAACATCCTGCACCCTTATCCATGTCCCTGCCACCCGCCCGCACAGTGGTTGAAATAACGGCCCACGCATCAGAATCAGAAGCAACAGCAACAAATACACTCGGTATTACTGTATGCAGCCACCCACCCCCATCACGTGCCACCCACCCCCATCTCGGACATCCCCCGCTCACCCTCACCCTTACGCACTCACGCACATTTTTATTTGCCATCTACTTTCGTTTGCTCTTCCTCCTTTCTAATACTTTCCGACTATTTGTCTTTTCAAGTTGCAACATTTCCCTTTTCTCCGCTCTTTCCGTTACGTCCCCTTGACTAATTTCTCTCCCATCCCATCTCCCATCTCTAATAGCTTTTTTATGTCCCTGTCGTCGATGTCCTACCACAATAGGAGCTCCCGTTGAGTGGGATTCTGGGTTCGATCTGAGATTTCAGACCCGGCTGCTGCAGGAAACCCATGTCAGCTTTAATAGTTTTTCCGAAAAAAGAAGAGGGTTTTCTTAATGGATTTTCTTGTAAAAATTAATAGAACACATCTCTAAGCTTTATAGGAATTTTTCTATAAGGGTTCGATATAAGGATTTCTCTTAAGGAGTTCTGAAAAAAGTGCTACTAAATGGAGTTTTTTGGTAAAAAAATATTGGATACTACACTAAGCTTTATAATGATTTGTATGTAAGGGTTTCTTATAATATATTTTATTATTAAGGCTTAAAAAAATTGCTACGAAAGGGATTTTCTGGTAAATAGGATTGGAACTGAACCCTAAGCTTTATAATAATTATTGTTTAGAGGCTTTATAAAGATTCTTTCTAAGAGTTCTGAAAAGGTTCTACAAAGTGTATTTGGATGTAATAACCCCGAATACATCAGAAATCTCTATATTATATATGTATGTATATACTATTCTTTGTAATAATGATTATATAAAGATTCTGTAAAATAATTTTCAAACTCCAAACCGAACTCTATAGAATACATATTTTCTCTCAGATAGCTCTTCGAACACATAACTAAGCTCTATAATAGTAGGTTCCATACAGGTTCTATATTATAATATCTCTGAAAGAGTTCTGAAAAGGTACTCCACGAAGTAATGTAATCTTAAACAATATGCATTACCAAGCTGTATAATAATGGTTCTATAAACATCCTAAAAGATTCTCTATAATCATTTCTTTGAAAGAGCTTTGAAAAGGTCCTCCAATTTGTATTCTCATATAAAAGACACCGAATACATTACAAAGCTCTATATTAGAGGTTCTATATAAGTTCTATGTAGGAATTCTTCTAAAAAAAAGTCTGAAAAAGTAATAAACCGTGTATTGCGACGTCTATAACCCGAATACCTTAGTAAGATTTATAAAACTACTACTCTATATTATAAAAACCTCTCCCTAAAGTCCTAAAAAGGTGCTCTTAAACGTTTTATCGTAATAAAAAACCGAAAAACAAGCTTTATACTTTATATATATATATCTCTATACTCTGCTCTATAATATAGCTTCATAATAATTAAATTCCTATATAAATATATTCCCCATTAGTCTATCTATTGACTTAAAAAAAACCGTTTTTCTTATCGCGGTCTTGCTTGGCAATTTGTAATCAATTACTTGCCATTTTTTATTATAATTAGTCGCTTGAGGGCGAACTCTGACTGCCTTAATCACAGCCCAAGTCGCTGATAAGGGCCTTATAAGTATATGTTTATATATATATATGTATATTCCACATGATATTGAGTCATCGCTTCGTATTGTTCGTAATTCGAATTACGAATGGGTGCCGATTCATCAGAAATCTGAAAATTGAAGCGACATTTTCCAGCCAAAGAGCTATTGTCGTGAGAGGCAATTTTCCCAACAACCCACGTGAAAATGTACAAACTATCTATCCAAACTATCCAACTATCCAAACCAGAGCTCATCCGAAAAAGGTCTGCAATAGTTGCGCTTCTCTGGCCGACAATGCAATTACAAAATTACAATGTAACAACAACTGTGTCTGCGACGCTAGATTACAAGCCACACAAATCCCAAAAAAATCAAAAAAAAAACAGAAACAGAAACGGAAAGCCCAACTCACCGCAATTGTCAGTTGCCGGTCGCAGATACATATATGTATGTATGTATGGATGTATCTATGTATCTGTCGGATGGGGGAAAGCCGCGCAACGGAACTCCAACTCAATCATCGTTGAGTGTGTGTGTGTGTGTATACGTGTTACAGAGGGCACTGTGGTGCGAGTTTTTATGAAAAATATATTTCAAAATTTAGAGATCTATAGCTCTATTATAATAGAACTATATCTATATATCTATCTATCTAATAAAACTTTAAACTATAAGATATAATAGCTCTCTGAAAGAAAGATCTTTATATCTAATAAATGATATATTATAATAGATCTTTAAAGTAAGAGATATAATAGCTCCCCTAATAGTAAAATCTTTATATCTTATAGATCTTCAAAGTAGGAGAAATAATAGATATTTCTAATATTTTTAACCAATCTACTTACCTTTGTACTACAAAGTTTGTAGTAGGCGTTAGTTCAGTTAGTTACTTGTGCTAGATATGGGGATTGTAATTAGATACTTTAGAGAGGGGGGCTAGCAGAGGTATTGGATTGTATATCGCTCTGGGAAAATACCAGAGAACGAACCGTAGGTGGTATGGATGTCATAGACGCCTCATTGGAGTTGCCAATTTACAGACCACTGCTCCACTCATCCAAGACCCGAGTGGAAGAGGAAGAAGAGGGAATTACACTGAGAGAAATTACTAGAAACTCTAATAATAATCAAAATATAATCCCTCATTCCCTCAGATTCCAATACCCAATCCTCCTTCTTTAGAGTCTTCACTGTTTTTGTCCATCTCTTTCTTGCTCAGTATAGCCATCTCTTTCGTGTGTGGAAATCTGAGAGGTGTGTGGGTCTGGCTTGACATGCAACCGGCAAATTATGAGCCGCGAGGCAAATTAACTTTTCACAAGGCTATGGAGCTTACCTGGGAGGTAGGTGGGCAGGGCAGGTGGCTAGCAGGTGACGCTCTTAAGTACAGAAAGCTGTTAAATATTTATTTAATATTTTAATGTTTCTCAACATAATTGTTGCCCAAAACCACTCATCGAAGGAAGGAGTTAGTTGAGAGGCAGGAACCACCTCCCCCCACATGTCAAAGGAAGGGGTTAGAGGCATGGACCTCCCCCCACATGTCATAGGCCTTGTCTCCATTACCACTTTGTAAGTATCTTTCTCTTTGGCGGCTGCAGTTTCTATTATTAGCCTCCAAACCGAAATCTGTGTGTGTATCTTCTGGAAGAATTCTTCACGCTCTCAGACAGAGATTGAAAGTTGAAGATTCAAGGGTTTCAAGGGCTAATAAAATACTAAAAGATCTCCAAGTCTCTTGTTTCAAATGTCACTCCCCTTGACACCCCTCCTAAGACTCTCAACCACGCCCCTGACTATTTTGCATGTGGCATGCACCTATAAATACATCCACACTATGTACATATATACATATATATGTATGTACATATGTATGTACTTATATCCGATCAGGCTCGTAAATCCTTTCGTGCCTTTCATTCTGTTTGGGGTCGTTTCCATGATTGCATTTCATGGCGCTTTGATGTTTTTTTTTCTATTTATTTTTAGACCAAAAGGCGCTACTGGAACTACTCCCCAATCCCCACTCCCTCTCTCTTTAGAATTCATGGCCTGTCATTCCAACGGGAGCTATACAGTTACTCCCAACAGCTGTTCAAATTCCAATCAGACTCTGGCAAACAGCTGTCCCCGCCCCCTTTCTAGTCTATTATTCCATTAGCCAGTCGAGCATTCCAATGGCCATTCCAATGGGGATATATTTTAATGATCTGTTTATATGGCCAGAGATCCATAGATCATCATAAATCTGACATTGCTACATATATATTCTCTTATTTAGGTGACATTTAATTAGCTTGATGCCTCAACTTGAAGTTGACTTTTCATTAAAGTACCACCACCCACCACCCACCCCCACCCACTAGTGACCCGCATTCTGGAGTTTCGAATTCCACCCTCCAGGAGCCCTCTCTTCTGCGGCTCATTGAAAATTGTTTGCATAAATTAGCCGGCTAGAAGAAGAAGAAAGAAATCGGAGGAAAATAAACATAATTTGTAAATAGCCAAGAGAGCTGGAAAATATATACATATATTTGGAGATATTATTTGGAGAGTATAACGGCAGCCACTAATTAGAAGTCAACAGAGTTTGGGGGTCACAATGATTGATTGATTGAATGATTGA